TGGTGAAATTCCAGGACACCGGCCGGGAAATTGTACGGCCCCGGAATCTCGGCTCGGTTCGGAAAATGTCTTCGCGTCGGCGAGATAAATGTCGCAATAATATTTCACACACCGGCGTGCGTCGTTACAGGGATCGGGCTAGGGGGTGGGGGCGGGAGGGTGGTGACGGCGTCGTTCAAACTCACTTAAATCCTCGAACATCGACGAAGAAGTCTGCGAGCACGGTTTAAGATTGATTCGACGAGCTTCCAGCGCATTTATTTAGTGGGCTGCGAGGAAACTCGGGCTCCCTTCGCGTGAAAAATCACTGATATCTCGCCGAAACGTTGCCCTTACCCTCGTACGCGCCCACCTACCGAGGGACAGGATATTTTCCCCGACGAATGGATTTATAGAAAGTTTTATGTACCCTCGTGAACCGAAGTGTACGGGAATATTGCAAAATAGAAGAATCGTCGAGATAGGGAAATTGTATTTTTGGTTAATTTCCAAATTTCCGAGAACTATCGAATCCAGAGTCCCTAATTCCGTTGAGAAACGGCCGGTCATCGGATATCCAGGAAACACGAAGACGCTTTAAAGGCATTAGCAACTTCCGAGACACGTTTTAAAAGACGGGGGAGGCCGACAAGCTGCCCCCCCCCCCCCACACCAGCCCTGCGTTTCCCGTTGTTCCGTCCCCCGCGGTGAAAGCGTCCGCAGCCCTCGTACAAAAGGGAACAGCGGCTCGTTATCGAAAAATTGATCTGATTAGACGGCCCTTTCGTGGAAACTTTTCGCCGGACATCCCTCCCGGTTCCCACGTCTCGCGAGAATCGGGCTTGCGAATTAAGGGCCGCTTAAACTCTTTACTTTCGGCGGTCGAGGCACTCGTTGATGGGCCAAGTTTCATTCGAGACATGCCACGTTAATTGCCGCGTTTCCCAGCAGGTCGAAACAGTCGGGACACCCCGGATGAAATTCCACGCCGGGAACTTTCCACAACTTGGCGAATTTCTTATTACGACGTCCCCCGGGGATCGACCTCCCCGGATTCTGTGCCGGTTTTTGGCAATTTCTAATACGACGCCCGCTGGATCAAGGTCTCCGGATGTTGGCGAAGATGCCTGCACGCGGTTCGAATTTTCGCGGTCGCGCATCAAAACTCCCGCGGAACAACGCGGCATTGCGATATTGTTGCTCGTGGCGTGCGCTTGACAAGAGTCGACGAGCCGCGGTTAGAATTTCCACGATATCTTGAAGCGGGCTCGCATCAAAGAGCACGCCTACGATAGCAATTAATTTCATTAGTAACCAAGTAATTAGTTGGAGCGTCGGTGTATCGCTATGCTCGATACGCACACCCCTCGACTAGTCGAAAGAGTTGCCTCTAGAATTTCATACGAGCTCTGCTATCTTACGGGCACACCTGCCGAAACGAATCCGACCCAATTTCCAATTAAACAAACAATTTTACCGTGCCTACGTTACACGATGGAAATAACTGAAATTTTCCTCGCGTTCTCGTCCACGAAGACCGTTCGACGATCAGAGCGTTGGCTGTCCAGGCATTTAGAAGGCAGACAAACCCTTCAACTTTTCCGTCCAATTACGAGTTTCCCACCATCGTCTAATCATCCCCGTTCTACTAAACATCCTTAACTTTGAAATAAACTCCGACGGAAGTCCGAAGGCGAGCACCGTAGCCGCAATTACTGACGGCTATCTTCCTGAAATTTGTCCCCGCGAAGAAAAACCGAACGAAAAGTCCGACGGACGCGAGCCTCGGATCCTGACGATGGCTCCACCCCGATCCGCTGCTTCTCCGAATAAAACGAAAAGAAAGACAAAGGACAAGAGCAGACCGGAGGGGAAAAAAAAGAAAATAGAAAACCGTGATGATAGGAGGTTCGGGGGAGGGTGAAGGGTGCGGGGGGGTAAAGGATCGATCGGCATCGAAGCTTGGCTAGGATAACTAAGTCCGACGAAAAACGTCGGAGGCACGTCGAAGTAACGGGCAAAGCGCGACGAAGGGAGGTAATCTCGCTACTCTTCGGCCGCTCATTCGAATCCCACGCTAAATTTCAATCTGACGTGTACAAAAGTCGAGCCCTTCCTCGTTCCCCGCCGCCCCGCCACAACCCGCCCCCGATTCGGTTTCTCGTGACAGAGGATCGACTCGTGCTCGAGGCAACGGTCCATTTCTGCGATCCTCCGCTCGTTCTCATCCCCCGACCACCCTATCGGCTACGTACAGCCTCGCTGCACACGTGTGCACCAGTCCATTTGAATCTAGCCACTCGAACGCGCGCCAGTACATTGCCCGGCAAAAGTTTCCTCGCGATCGGGGACGAGAACGTCCAAGGGGTGGTTACGAACCTCCGTTGAGGGAGTCTTTTACTATAAAACCTTCAAAAAATTGACATTCACCAAACAAGATTGAGTTATTTTATAATTTAACCCTTTGCAACCCTCCCCACCGAGGACACATCTTGAATCGTACGCGAAGTAAAGAGTTTTATTTCGGTATAACAAGGGCAAAATGGGCTTTTGGTAGACTCGAGATGAGTGTTCCCGTTATGCTTTGGTGATCGAAGAGTGCCGGGGGATGATGTAATTTCGTGGGAGGTGTAAGTGGTACGGGATGGGCGTACGTCGCTTAAAACGTGGCTACCATTTTGCCTGAGATTTCCCGGAAAATTTTTAAGGGACGCGGATAGGTCGATCGATCCAACTATTAATTCTATAGGAGTTTGAAAATTCGTTACTCGGTTCCGACGATTCAAAGAAACTTGTTCCGTAGGTTAACCCCTCGACGCTGATGGTCTAGTCCGCCAAAAATTATATCATCTACCTTTTCATAGCAAAGCAGACCGCTTATTTTGCTTAGTGTTCGATTCGATGTTGGTTGCGGGTCGTCCGTGACCCGAAGATACTATCCGAGGGTTTCTCGACTGGTTTCCCGCCCAGCCAGCGGGACAAAATTGCTCGTCGTTGGGATCGCGATTCCGTGAGAGGCGAAATACGGACCTGGTCGTGGCTGTAAGTCCAGGTAAGCCTTGACAATCCCGTGGAAAAAGAGAAAAGAAGGAACGGCGGAGAGGAAGCGATCGAGCGGAGGTCAAGACGAGTTTCGGCGATAACTTTTTGGCCGATAGTGTACGTGTGCCTGTGCGTAGGTGTGCCGGTCGAGTCCTTTTTACCGAAGCCACCCCCTTCCGACGGCGTATCCGTATCCCAGCCGGTGAGCCAGCCCCGTTGCCAGCGTCCATTTCCCTCGATACAGCGCCGGCAATCCGTGGCGTATCGGCTCGCGTATACACGACTCGGGCACAGCGTCGCGGCGCACCTAATTAAACTTCGCCAGCGTGGGAGAGCACGTTAGACTTTCATTCGGTCTGGGCTTTCTTGCGTCCCTCCGCGAATCGAACGAGCTTCCGGGCTCCTTCCGCGAATTGCGCCGGGGAGGGTAGAATTTTTTGAGCCTGTATCCGACCGGCTGATTTTATTCCACCCTCCCGCTGCGACGCCATTCTGTGTCGTTTTCTATTAGAACCGACGGGAACGCCGGGGAAAAATGAAAGTTCGAATCACGTCGGGGGCCGCGTTTTCAACGAGGAAGCTCCTTTTTGTCCCGGTACTTTTCCGGAAAATCATTCCGAGACATCTGCCAATCTTTTTTGCCCGACGAGTTACGCTTTCGAGGAACGTTTCGGGGCAGTTGTTACCGATATGATATTTTGACCGATCGACTAACGCTGTTTTGATCGGTTACAAATCTGAGCGACCAAATCAAAATATATTCTTCAAGGATGATGAAGCAGATGCGACTATAGCTAGGGGCAGCTATCTAAGTAATTTTGATAACTTTAAAACATGAAACACGTGTTGGGAAAATGCTGAAAAATAGTATTTTGTTCCAAGGAAATTTCCCTTCCCATTTTAAATACTAATTTAAAAAGTATTACCGAGAACTACGCTAAATGAAAGGATCCAGAATGCCCTACGTAGGCGCGCAGATACACGTTATCTTATTTCTATTCGGGATCGCGATAATCGAGGAAAACGATTCAATTTAATAAGAATAAAACCCTGTCGTTTCTAACGAGACAGACCGTTTAATTTCTGCCTCGACGAAAGGACGAAAATTCGCGACCTAATTCGCTCTCATCGAATTATCGAACCGTTCCAGGACGTGCTTATTATTACAAGATTTTTTTGTCCCCCGTGTGCAAGGTGCCCCAGAATTCAATTATGTCGAAGAACGTCTAAACGCAGCGTCCATCAAGAATCGAGCACTTGACGAAGCGAACGATAGCTACCAGAAACGTTGCAAACGAAAAACGAAAGAAACTGTGTGAGAACGATATGCCTTGGTTCCCCGACTTTCAACCCTAACCGCGCTTTGGTCGCACGCGACACGATTGGAGCGACTACCCCCGCAGATCAGGCGGACGTTTTGTACAAGAATTTGCTTTCGTAACGATTGCATGACCGTCTAGAAGGGTTCCAGATGACCGGATTAATTTGTGGAGGAGCTAAGGAGAACATAACCGACGTAATATCTAAAACGACTAGGATAGGCGATCGGTTTATTTATTATAACTCTATTATTCTACCGGAGAGACGTTAAATAATCGCTAAGGGGATGTCTCGCGAACGTCTAAAGGGCAAATTTATTAAAAGGATCCCGATATCTTCCTTCTCGCTAGAGAAAGACGATAGTTTGTCTCGATATCGAAAGGCACTCGATTATCTTTTTTTTCTTGCGTGCTTTCGCCGTCTCTATTTAACGCACCGAGTCGTTAAAGTTATTATATACATTTTGGTCTTTACTCTTCTCGACTCGGAGGGACGTCCTGATGCAATTTAAATATCTTGTTCTCGACGACGAAGGGAAACGCTGGGGGTAATTTGCATACTTATTTCGCTTATTTTTTTTTTGTTAGTTTGTCTCCAGCGCGGAGGAAGACGGTCGTGTAATTTAAGTAAAATATTAAAGTGATGTATTTTGATATTACCATATGAGTTGTGAAACTGTTGATGATGAGTCTCGAGACCGGTTCCTGGGTGGTGGATATCCAGCATGGCTTCCGGCTCGCCTCCGCTCTCAGAGCAGTTGCTCAGGGCTAAAACCAAACCGATAGACACACACCTTGCGTTTAAACTTCAAATCAGTTTTCAATGGCGGCGATCCGTCATAGCGCGGAATACCCTCGCTTATAATTTCTTTCGCGACTCTTCGGCTCGTCTTCTGATTTTCGTCGGCCTCCTTTCCCTTATTTTCGTCTTAATCCGCCTTTTCCAAGCTCTCGCCTTTTAAACGTTACTTTCGCTCCCCGAGACTGTTCCTCTTTTACAGCGCGGAAATTTGGTCGGAGATAAACAAACGTTCGAACGTCTGTCGAGCATAGAAATATTCCGATGCAAAGTATCGAATTGTACTCTGACAGCCAAGAGCTTCAGATTGCCCGATTTCTCCGTAAAAGTTCCGAGTAAACAATAAATTGGAACAAACGTGCGACCAAATCTCCGCCAGAAACGAGGAACAGCGGGTAGAAAAAGTCACGTTTCCGGGACTAATGAGACGCGACCGGATCGATTCGAAATTATTCCGCGTCCGGGGAAGGAAGGTCGACGACGAAAATCATCGGAAGCAACGCGATCGTTTCAATTCGTTTTTCCTTTTTTCTTTTCACCGGTTCAGAATTGAACGGTGGCGCGTGTTACGTGACTTCGTTCTCCGTTTCCTCGTTCAGGTACGAACAAACTGAAGAAAATCGGTAAAAAGTGGAATAAACGTGCCCCGAGAAAGAAATCATAAAACACAAAGCAGGGGTATGTCACACGTGTTCACTTAAAAGGTACTCACAACTTATCAATATAAACTAAACTGACCGATCGACAACGACCGACAGCGTCTTCGGGCCTCTAGGAAAATATCGATTTAAAATTTATTTCTGTAAAATCAAGCCGTTATCTACTCTCGATCGATGCAAAAATCTCTTAAAAAATTACTAGGAATCTCGACGGTAGCCAAGTTCCGATATATGTTTTGAGTAATTAAAAAGCGATTCTATGCTCGCTGCGAAACGTAGCGGCACAAAATAAGAAAAAATTGTATCGTCAACGTTGCGGTTGACGTCGTTCCCGCAGCCACCTCTTCGCACACGATCGATCGCGATCACCGCGTAAATATTCACACTTCGGCGCAAACTCGCCCGTCGAAGACGCTGCGTCGCTAGGACCGTCAACAAAATCTACGCTAAACAACTCAAAAATGAAAAAAACAGAAGCGAAAGTAGAAGTAAGGATCAGAAACGAAAGTAAAGGTAGAAATCAAAGAAAGCACCGGGTGTGCAGGATCGGAAAGAAGCGACGGGGGAGAGACCAGGAGCGGGGGAACGTTACCGCGGCGAACTGAAAGAAACGCGGAACGAAACCATTCCCGAACGCGAATCGCGAACATTTTGGTACTTTTTTCGAATCGAATTCAAGCCGTCCGCGGAGGTGCGTGTCTTCGTCTATCCGTTTGGCTGGTCTTTGACTCGAACAGCGCGGTTTCCAGGCCGTTTCCGACTCTCAACATTCCATTTTTAATATAATTCGAACCTTGGAATTCTTGGAATACGTTTCTACCAATAGTAGAGTAGAAAGAACGTTTTCTGTGTTTGACACGGTTATAGAAACTCTTAACACTCGCGAGACCAAGTTCCAAGGTTCGAATCGTATTGGAATAGAATTTGTTGTATAAATTCGAACCGATTCGAGGTGATGAAAATCCCATCACTAATCGCGAGACTATCGATTTCCCGGTGGAGGCCTCGAAAGGAGGCGCGTGGACGTGGTCTCCTCGAGGTCCGCTCCTCTGCGATCTTCCGTGTAGACTTCCGGTCGACGATCGTCTTCGGCCGATGAAAGGGGCGAGCGACGATTTACCATTTCGGGACGAGGGACCGATAGAGCGGTCAGGGATTCGATCATGGATATTTTCGAACAACCCGACACATTTCTTTCATTCAACGAACGACGCTTTCGGAACGATGACACAGACGTTGGACAACGCTTTGTTACATCCTTCCCGAGAAACGATCTTTCCATCTTAAAATCCGTTTCCGGTGGCTCGTTATCTGACCAACGTTCTTCTTTGGCCGGGAAATATTCCTCGCACATTTTGCGTTTCTCTTCCGTGCTCGTTGACGGGGTCGAGGAGTTTACTTGCTTGGTCTATCGGGAGAATCCAACGATTTTTAAACGGGAAGTTACCGGAAATAGTTTCGAAACGTCTATTCTAAGAATTACCGGTTTATATAATACATTACTCATGCTCGACCTCATGATATCGACTGAATCGAAACGTACCCTGTCATCCCCTTCTGCGTCTTCAACGAACGTTCCGAATAATTTCCCGAACCGGCTTTGAATAATCGTTCGAACGTTCGGTTAAAACGATTATGTAAAGCTGTAAATTATTCCGAAGCCTGACCACCGCGGGAGAGGGGCAAACAAACCCGCGAAGAAGAGGAAGCTTAAAAGGAACCCTAGATTGGAAAATCCGGTTACATTTCTATATCTCTGTACAGTCCGACGGCCGACTTTTCGAAAACGTAATATTCTAAACCGTCGAGAGGCTCGCGATACCACCTACCCTACGTACAATTATATAAATCGCAGGATAATTCGTGCAAATAAATTCTCCCGAACAATTGGGTTTCTTTTCGCCGTATATCACCTTCTTGAAACAAGTTAATTCTGTATTAATCCATCTTTAAACGTGCACAAAGGGGAGGGGAAGGGGAGGGAGGGAGGAGGTATCGATCCGTTGAACGAGAAAAAGAAACGTCTTGCAGGACAAACAGAATTCGGATTACGAAGGACTGAACTGCGATTCAAGCTTTTCCGGTCGGACGTAAATTCCGATTGTTCTCGAAGCGTTCGCGAGCGATCGATAAATTCGTCGTGATTTTCGAATCGAGTTTTCGGTGGTCGAGCGACAACTTCCAAAATGATCGAAACGATGTAAAGCGAGGCGAAAAAAAGACCGTTGAGCGCAAAGGGGTCGAAGGACGGGCCGTGGTTCTTTTTTTTTCGCCCGCGAAGAATCATCCCCTTTCCAGCCGGTACCAGCCCGTACATACGCGAGTCACGTACGTAACAGTAGCAGACTGACATGTATGCCTCGTAACAGTAAGCCGGTTCCCACTGAGCACCCTGTTACCGCGTCTACGCGATGGAAAAGAGGGTAGAAAGCGAGAGAGGGAGCGAAATAGAGACTTTGTGTTGTAATACGTGTTCCGTGCGGTGTACATAGACGTATACCGCATGCATGACGTGGAGGATGAGTCAGCCCTCGTGGAAAGCAGTTTCACGGAGAGAACTCATCGCGAAACTTTCCGGAAATATTTCTCCTTTTTCTACTCTCTTCTCCACCCCCTCCCCCCCCCCTTCCTCCTCCTCCCTTCAACCCCATTGCCAACAACTCGATGAACTTCGAACTTACCGCGAAACGATCTTCGTTATTTGTTTCTCCTTTAGCCGACGGGGACCACACGATTTTTAAACGTCGTCTACGACTTCTTTTTTTTTGCTCTTAATAACGACGATCGACCATGGTTTTTTGGGGAGTGCAAAGGGTTAAAGAAAAAGAAATTGCAGTCAACGGGAGGGAACAATGGATGGATTCGGAACAGAAGCAACGTACGATATTGTTGAAAGCGAAGAAAACGACAAAGGACAAAAATGCCTTTCCAGTCGCCTCGAATACGTTCCAGCGAACGTTTACCGAGTGAAACGAAGCTTCGTTCGAGGAGAGAGCAGGCTTATCGTAAAACATACCAGTGTCACCTTTCGTTTATCAACGACCTGACCGAAGTTTAATTCGAGACGCGAGCTACGCTCGCCGGCTATTTCAACGACCGCTACAATGCGCTCGAAGACACAGAATCGATTCAGTCCGTTTTCTTTACTTTTTTAAAACAGTGTCGTCATTCCCCGGACGAGTTTGCAGTCGAGAAGCTAGTGGAATTGGCAAAACGAACGCGATTACCGGTCCAAAACAGTTTCTGCGTAAAGATTTGCCCAGTTGGCGGCCAAGCTTCCATGGAAAGTGCTGTAAATCGCTAAACTGAAAACACCGGAGTGACCTTTAACGGTTCCAATCCATTAGGCGGATAATTTTACTGAAAAAGGAAAAGTAAACGGTTGGCGGAGCCAACGGAAGGTCGAGATACGATTTGCGTCCTAATTCCCATCGTTTCGAAACATTGTCGAACCTCCCGAACGTTGCAGGATCGTTTGGCAAAGCCGAGAATATCAGAAAGTCTACTCGGTGCTCGAAAGGATTTCCGAGAGGACGGTTCGACTTTTATTTCCACGAGGAGGCGGCGGCGGCGGCGGCATCCCGTTGGATTTTATAATCCGTGGAAAGGCGAGCAGAGGAGCCCGAAGGTCACGATTTTCCTAGGTCGACGGTGTGGCGCAACAGCTGTTCTACGAAAGGTGTTCATTGATGTGACATCTGCACCTTGATTCCCCCCTCAAGCTATTCGGGTACTATTTACCGAATAGCCTTTCCTCGTCGGCGGAAAGGCACCGAAAACAAACTTCCCTATGAACGACTCTGGCACGTGCGCCTCTATCCGTGGAAAGAATCGATTTTCCCACGGGGGGAATCGATCCTCGATCGTTCGTAACGGTTACGTCCGGATCCGACGATTTCAAACGCGATCGACCTCTGAAACTATCGGGTTTCGACATTTATAATGGGTTTCTTGGCATCTGTGTTGAAACACGGAATAATATTAGAAGATGATTTTAGCAAGGAATCGACGGTGAAGGGAAATGCTCGTTAGCAAAATGGATAGTATCGATACTGGGTAAGCGGAAGTGGTTCGAAAGGGAATCGGTGAAGCCGACAGGACGTCCCGTGGAAAGGGCCGCCGATTGGCAATCCAAGACGCGCGGAATTCGCAGGCCGTGCGTCAGCGTGCACGCATAATTCACGCACGCGCACGCATGTAAGGCCTCCTGACGCGGTGTCGCGTTTCGGCGCGTGCTGTGACAACGACCTGGAAACCAACACCAGATCGACGCGTTCTCACGTCCATCGTGTCCGCGACCCGTGCAACGCATTTCCGAGGAAAACCAAAATTATCGAAAAGCCGGCGAAAATTCGCGACTTCCGTTCAAAACGGAAGGGGACCGAGGAGGGTCAATTTCCCGTGGAAGTTCAGTCGGTCGAAGCCGTCAGGTTTCGACGTCTTCGATTGTTATTAATAACAAACGAGACCGAGCGTCATGCGCATAGGGGGCATTCTATACTTGGAAAAAAGGAATGTTGCCTCGAACAGGGGAGCCAACACGTTGAAAATAATTGTCCTGTGACTACGGCCCGGAAACCGCGGCGGTCACCACGGTACACGTCCTCGTGGTCGTTCTCTCGCATAAAAGCCCGCATCGATTGTTCTTTATCGTTCACGGCGAGAGGATCCGAGGAAACGCGCCTCGAGGAGCGACGCACGGGCTCGAAGGAAACTTTTCAACGTCAAAGGGGAACTTCAACAGTTGCGAGCGTTGCTCGCGACCGGTGCTCAACGGGGATCGTTCGACGTTTACGAACACGCTCCGAATCGATGTGGATCGTTAATCTTTTCGGGGCTAATTGATCGGCTGGACGGTCGACCATTTATCCCGCTCGTTGCAAGAAACAATAACTTATATTGCTATTTATCTAACGCAAACGTTAAAGAATGGATTGCATATTATCTTCGTGTCATCGTCCAAGTTCATTTCAACAAGATCTTGTTAGAAAATTCAAAGACAAAGATCATGCGAAATATAGTGGAGCAGAACCAAAGAATTATACTTTTAAATGTCGTTGGGGATTATCTGATCCGATTCTTCATCGGTTGCCAGCGTAACGGGCCCGTTATCAGTTTGCAATAATTATTCGGTGAAAGATAAGGGAAGAACGGAACAGCTGCGATCGTTTAACTTGGTAGGACCTAACCCATAGCCAAAACCAACGAAATTGAGGTCACGAAAGAGTGGAAACGACCCCAGGGATCCTTCTCCTATTTTACGATGCAGATCACGCGGAGCGGAGGAGGGGGTAGCAGGAAAGTGATCCCCAGGAAGTGCGGGGACTTGGTAGGCACGAGGACGCGTCCTCGAAACGAGCCACCGATCGCGAGCGAAAGAAACCTCTTTGGATTTTTTGTTGTTTCTCTTTTCGAAGCACCTCTATAACGCGGACAGATGATGTGGGTACCACGAGGGGCCGTGACGTCGTTCGAGGCACCGTCTACTCGCTTACGCGCTTTATTCTCCTCTCTTCCCTTCTTATTCTTCGCGTTTAGGGGCTGCGGACGACACCTTTCCCAGCCAGCTGTCACTCGCATCTGTAATTCCTTTGATGCGATCCGAACGCGAAACGCGCGACCCGCCACGATCAACGGAAGAAGAAATATGTATTTTTAACGAATAAGAAGTTCAGCCTACGATTGCTTTAAATAAAACAAATTCCCAAATGCCAGCCGTATTTTTCTTCCTCCCTCTGGCGCTCGAGATTCGTGACCTTGAAACATCGACTCGTTAAAGCCCATAATCGCACGCAAAATTTCAAACGAACCGCCTCCGCTAGCAACCCGGCTGTACGAGTCGAAACAATCGCCGAAATCGAAATCAGAGATGGAATTTCGAGCGTGTACGGCGTCGTATCTTGGCGAGGAAAAGTAAATGAGCAAACACCAGAGAGGCGCTGCCTCTGTAACTAATGTACCTGACCTGTTTTAACGATCGATAACAGACCGGTGGGCACGATTAAGCGCAAATGACAGTCAGAAACGGAGCAGACAGTCGTTACCGGACAAATTTTATCAGATAACCGCGTGGCCGTTCATTCACTCGCATAATTAAAAGCTTCAAACCCCACCAGAGGGTATTTGGAAGGAACCATACCCAAAGAACTTGTACGAATTAATTTTCCAAACATAAAACTAGGAACTCGGTTTTTCCAACGGAAAAGAGTCGCTTCGAGGTTACCCGTTGAACAGTAACGAGGTCATCGATGACGTTTCTGCGATTCGTGAGTAAACCGGTGGAGGAACGACGAAAATGCCAGAAAAATTGAACTCGTCCTTAGAATCCTGAGACGATGTTCGAAGAAACTTGGAGAGTCTTCTCCCTCCGTTACGAACTCATCGATTCGGTAGCAATCTCATCGTCCAATTCGAAATTAATTTTATTTAGACAAATATACAAGAAATTCGGTCAACGAGAAGACTGTAATACAAGTTTCGATTGTTCGACGTTCGATAAATATCCTTTCGTTCGTAAGAAGCTTGATCGTTTGGATCTCTTTTGGAAAATGTTCCCCGTCTTGTGTTTTCCCGTTGGTAGAAAGCCGTGCAACGCCAGGCGCGTTTTCTTTGGTCAGAGTTGCTGGTCGATCGATGCGACTATTACTATACGCCGTGTGTCCATTATCGTGAACGTACAAACTCGAGATACAGCGCGACTGGAATTAGCACCGCTTTCCCATCGATCCTGGCTCTGAATCATTTACGAGTTACCGTATGCAACGGCCGTTCCAGTCGAATGCATTCTTAGACCTCGCGTCGCGTTCATTCTGTCGAACTGTGACCAGGAAAGTTTGCTTTTTCGAAAGACACCGTACGATTTTCGCGCGACTGCTAATAGAAAATTAGCAGAGTTCGATTCGAGGACCGTTTCGTCCCGAAAATACGTCGGCCTCCTGAATTACGATCAACGATTTACCGGGTACAATTTCGAGGGCAAACGAGGGTAGTTCAAAGTTAAGGTGACTTTGCCAGAGCCGTGCTGTGCATATATAATTAGTTTTTTGGGTGGCGGTTAATTAGTTGGATTCGGCGCGTCCAAACTTGGGTCTGGAAAGCCGGAATCCATCAAAGTTTAACGCCAGGAAACACTTTCGACTCGTCTCGGTGATTCGACGCACGATCGAGACTAGACTTTTTTACGAAAATAATTTCGTAATTAGCGTGAAATAAAAGATAAAGAAACCTGGATCAGCGGGGATTTTTCAAGAAAAGGAGTCGCTGAAAGTTAAGCGATTCTCGCAGGCCCACCTGTGCTCGCCGCGACGCTTTCGAACGTGTTTTAATGAGACGACACTTCGGAACGAGCGAGAAAGAAACGTGGGAAACAATAGCGGGACTCGAATCTGAAGGGCACTGGATCGAACCCTTCTTTTCGCAGCATTGTCTCCCTCGACGAACCCTTTTACCACTACCGTCACCTTTTCTTCGACATCCCCCAGCCTTTCCGCGACCCTCGCGAGCCTCCGAGGAGACCGACGGAGAAGAAGACAGCTCCGACTGGCTACAGAATAGTTACTGCCCCTCCTCGACATTATCTTTACTCCTTTGCTAGCGTACAAAAGGAACGTCGCCAGCGACCACCGGACGGGGGGGAATACCGGTGCTTGATAGAAATGTTTCTCCTCCCTAAACGCGAGTTTGCTTTTTCTCAGTCCCGACCCACCTATAGCAAGATCTCTCCCCGACCTTCTTGTCCGCGTAAATTCGAACGTTCGTCTCGTACGATTTTATTTCGGTGGTTTCGATCGAGAAAACAACGAACCTAGAGAGTGGACGACTCGAAGAAACGGATAGGTTTTGGAGACGAAAGATTACGCTTATAACGGGAGAAGAATCGTGGATGGACAAGATCCGTATCGATGCACGCATCGTGGATCCTTGCGGGAGTGTTAGGCGCGAATTCGCACAGGCCGGATAACATGTTTCTGGATGGACAGGGTAAAACCCTACAGCGGGAGGGGATGACGACAGCGTGGCGGCGGCATGGCGAACATGGCGTCGTCGAGGTCGCGTCGGCGCGTTGCAGCGAACACCGCGTGACCACGATCAATAAACTGTACGCGGTGTTGTGCCGGGGCAAAGGATGTTGAATTCGAAAAGTGTTATTCCGCGCGTCTATCTCTGAATGATATGGAAGGGAACGCCTCTCCACGTGGGTGCCACGTGTGCGCTTCCGCCCGCGTCTGTTACGCGCGTGCACGCGCTCGTCCGATTTCGTCCTCGCTGATCCAAAACAGAGACCCTGGCTCCCAATTTTCGCGCCCTCTTACTCCGCCAATCGTCCTCTCGAGGAACTCTGCTTTGGAACCGAATCGAGTCCGTCGCGCCCCGACAACACACAACCTGCACTCGGACCGAACCTTTCTTCTTTGATCGCGCGTACAGGGACCAGAGTTCTCGCGACGATTCAAAGTATCAAGAAGAATCCAACGAAGCGGCGGATAATAAGATAATAAGAGCGAGCTAGGTGGCGCGAAAATGTCCGAGCAAAGAGCGACTTGGACGTGGAGCGATAGAATTGGTGCGATGCATTTTCGAGAATCGAAGGAATCGGGGCAAGAATCGTGTTTTCGTATAGCCGTATCGAGCGACACGCTGGATCGGATCGAACGACAACGATATACCGAAATCGAGGATAGATTAGACGCGTTACGCGTTACACGTTACGCGTTAGACGTTAGGCGGTACGCGACGGTACGTTAGCGAAGATAAAAAGGTGACAAGAGGAATATACGCATTATCGTGGGAGACACGATGGAGGACTAACCTGCTAGCCGCAAGGCCGACATTCTTTGAAACTCGGGCTCTTGTAGCCACTTCCACATCCGTCGGAAGGTCTCGCGTCCGCTCTTGAGCTTGGACCAGGGCTTCGGGTTGCGCAGCAAGTCGCTGAGGGTGCCCTGGCTACGACAGAGGACCCTCTGCGCGAATATCGCCTGCGGTATGCTGTACCTCTTGAGCTCGGCGCTGATCCTCTGCGCCAGCTCCTTGGTGTTGATCTCCTCTACCTCGCCAGCCCCGTTGCCGGCCGAGGACACTGTCTTCATCACGACCGAGGTGTGCTGCACGTGCTGCGTGTGCGATATCGTCTGCTGCGGCATCGACTGTTGCTGCTGCTGCTGCTGTTGTTGCTGCTGTTGTTGCTGCTGCTGTTGCTGCTGTTGCTGCAGCTGCGTTTGCATAGGAGGCGGCGAGGCAGCCGGCACAGAGTGCGTGGGCGGGGAATGGTGAGAAGGCGCGAAACTGGCCGTCGCCGAGACCGCCGGCGGCGAGGAAGGGCTCAGGGCCGCCGGACTCTGCTGCAACCTCGGCAAAAAGGCCGGATCGTAGTGAGGACTGGCAGACTTGTGCGGCGAGTTAAGTCCGCTCTGGCTGTAGGCGCTCTGCGGCGATAGAGGACTCGGCTGAAGGCCCGCGCCCGGCGAGGGATAATTGTGCGGCGGCGACATGCCCATCGAAGGCAGTTTGTCGTACGCGTACGGCGAGCTGCCCATCCCGAGGCCGATGTTACCGAGGCCGTTGTTCTGCATCACCGCGAAACTACCGGTGACGCCGCCAGCCGCGTGTGCACTGTATACAAACTTGTCGCTCATCGTCGAGATCGGCGGCAACGGCTGTAACGGCGTCAGGGTCGCGTAAGAGGAGCCCGGACTGAAGCCGGGCGGCGACATCCTTTCCGCGACCGAGGTCAACGTCTGATAGGTCGGCTCCGGCTGCATCGCCCTGAAGTCCGTCGCGTCGATCATGCTCGCGACCGAGACGCTTATCCCCGAGGTCGGCGTTAGCTTGCCCGGACTGAGGAGCTCCGAGTCGGCGTCACGCGAGTCCACGTCCACGTCCTGAGGTGGCACGATCACCGACAGGGACTCCCTCGCGTTCTGTCTACCACCACCACCACCTCCACCACCGCCGCCGCCGCCACCACCGCCGCCACCGCCACCGCCGTTTCCGTTGCCACCACCGGCGCCACCGACGGCACCTCCGCCGCTGCCGCCACTGCTGCTGCTGCTGCTGCTGCTGCTGCTCGTGCTGCTGCTACCACCACCACCACCGCCGCCACCGCCACCGCCGACGCCGCCGACGCCGCCGCCACCACCACCGCTGCCGCCGCCGCCACCGCCGCCGCCGCTACCACCGCTACCACCACCGACGACGATACTGTTACTCGGTGGCTCCTGGGACGACGACAGATCCTCCGCGGCGGTGAGCTCTCGCTCCTCCTTGACGCCGAGCGCGCCGGCCGCCAGTAGTTCCAGCGGCAAGCTCGCGCACGCGATGTCCGGACTTTGCGACGCCGAAGACGACATACCCTCCGTGTTACCACCACCACCGTTTCCACTTCCACCGAGGTTTCTACCTCCCGCTCCGTCGCCGCTGCCACCACCGCCGAGTTCGTGTTGCTGTTGGTGATGTTGATGTTGTTGATGCTGTTGATGTTGTTGATGCTGCTGCTGATGTTGTTGATGCTGATGCTGATGCTGATGTTGATTCTGCTGATGATGATGATGGTGTTGGGGGTGGTGGTGATGATGATGAGGATGATGTTGCTGTTGTTGTTGCGTTTGTTGGTGGTGGTGTTGGTGCTGTTGCTGTTGTTGTTGCTGTTGGTGATGGTGCGGTTGGTGGTGATGGTGGTGGTGATGATGATGGTGATGCCTACCCCCACCGACCACCGTTCCTCTACCACCGTTGTTGCTACCACCTCCTCCTCCTCCGTTTCCTCCTCCACCTGCACAGTTCCCATTCGAACCACCCCCACCGGTTCCCCGGCCATGCGTAGAAACCGCCGCCGGGGAATCGACCGAGTCCAGTAATTGCTCGCTATGCGATTGATGATCGGCTACGTCCCCTATACCTTCCATTTACGCACATCTAGTTCGGGTGGCCGCGCACTCGCTCTCCCGTGCTCGGACACACCGCGTGCACACACCGCGTCGACGCGTTTCTTCGCTGCTGAAACCGCGCGCACTCTGTCCGCTCTCGTCGTTTTCGTTTTATTTATAATCTACGATCGCGTTGTTCTTTGTATCACCGGCACCACCAGTCGTCGATCGTTCTCTACACCCGATACCACACTATTTACGCACCGTCGTAACACGATTCGCGTTTATCTCGCCGACACTTAATTCTTTTATCCCCGTGCCCCTCTCGTTCTTCTTTTTTTTTCTCTCTGTCACTCGTACCAGGTGTCGCGTCACTGGGCCGACCAGTCGCGTCGCAACGAGGGAAACAACGACCAAGCCGAAGACGAGAACGCGGAGAACCACCACCACCGCCAGCACCGCCTCCTCGTGTCCGGCAGCTTCGAACGAATCAGAACAACCGCGACACCGCGTACGTGTCCGTGTCCGTGTACGTGTCCGTGTCCGTGTACGCGACCGATCGCGTCTCTCGTGGTGGACGAGGACACCGTCGGTTTCGACGTTGTTGTCGACGATTCAGACGACGACGACGACGACTTTGCTCTCGCTATTGCTCCGCCACATCCAGCACGTCGGATCGGCATAGAGATCCGGTACCACAGCGGCGACGACCACCGTGCGCCCATGACATACGCGGAGCGAGTGAGAACGCACACACTGCGCTCGAGTGAATACGTTGGTCGTGTCGTCGAGATGGAGAGAGAGCGTAAGAGAGCACGAGCGAAAAGGAGCAAGAACGAGCGCCGCGCCGCGCCGGTAATCGGAAAGAGGGGGACGTTCCTCTCGCTCTCTCTGGCTGGCCGCCGGTACCCCCGAACCGTCCAGAGGACCCTTCCGTTCCGTTTCACTCCGCCCCTTTGCCCCTCGGTCTACACACCGCACGGCCCACTACCACCAACAACAACCACCACCACCACCACCACCACCAGCAGCACCAATACCACCGGTAGCACCGTCACCACCTGGTCCACCCTACTACTAACGTGCTCGTTCTTCTCTTGGCGTTCGTACGCGACACCCTCTGACGCGTGCTACGCTCTAACTACGATTCCTCCGGGTCCAGGTGCGACTCGTACTATCCTCCTCTGGTTTCCTCGCGCGTGTTTCCCCCTCGCGAGCACGGTCTCTCTCTCTCTCTCTCTCTCTCTTTCTTTCGCACAGTCTCTTTCGTTTACGAGCGATCACCCCCGTCTACGACCACCACCACCACCACCACCATCAGACAGCACCGTCTCCAACACGCGGTCTCGCCACCGGCAGCCGTACCTGCGCGATCCTTCGCCCTTTCCGTCGAGTCGTTTTAACATCCATGTGAAAAGCTAACCCCCTTTGACACCAACGGGATTCGACGCCGCGTACATATTCGATGGGAACTGAACGCGGCCGCGTATCGCCCGAAAACGTTGCGTCGCGTTGTCGCGTCTCTTCCGATCGTCGTTCGTTTGTTCCTCTCGTCGCGTTGCCGCGCGCGAATCTTCCTGCCGCCGATTATCGCAAGCGGAGCCACCCCTCGGCGAGGAGCCTAAGTCACCGGCGAGGGCATTCTCGTTGTCATCGTGCGCTACGAGGGACCGCTAGGTGCGCGCTGCGCCGCGACGTCGACACCGTCACACTTCCACCACCACTCTGTCGTCAGTCAGCCTTCTATCGATTTTCCGATACCTCGTGACCAACGTTGCTCGATGCGCCGATACTTCGAGCATAAACATCGACTCCTATCCCGTCCTAGCGGCGACCTACCCTCCGATGCCCACCATCCTCGACCTCGATCCGATTATCGAGTATCCGTCTTTCGATCTTTTTTCTTTCTCTCTTTCTCTCTCTCTAAAGATATTTTCTACTCTGATAGTAGGTTCTTCTTGATATTTCTTGGGGTAAACTACTCTGAGGAGCGTCGTAAACCTCGTCTCGCGTAAAGCCCGTCGTCTGCCGGAAGGATTCCCGGGCCGCGCGCGTGGTCCGAACCGAATCCGGACGATCAATACACAATCGAACGTTACGCGGCGGAGAAGCTGTTCAGGTCCGGTCAGCTTGCAATCGATCAGCGTTCCTCCACGTGTACCGAAACGTTTGCGAGCCGAGACACGCTCGGGTCTCCGGTTCGACGCAATTCCACGATCGAAACGCGCATCCCCGAACGGAGGGGCGGGAGAGCCAGTTCCAAGATGTCCTCCAGGGGGTCTTCCCCAATCGAGTCGCTCGACCCCCCGGCGCGATCGAGTCGAGACGACGGGTCGAAGCGGCGTCAATCGACGGTGACACGAGCACGGGGCCGAGCCACGAACCCGTCGATACCGTAATCAATGGGGAGAAGGAGGTCTCGGGCGTCGACGCGCGGGCGCCGATCGATCTCGCGACTACGAGCTTCGCCCGGTCGATTGCTCTTCCTTCGGTTCTCACTGGCTGCACGAATTAATCCGTCGTCGATTTTAGCGAAACCGCGCGTACACGGAAGCGATCCTCTTCGACTCGCGATCCCCGTCTCGTACGCCGCTGCTCGTGCGCATTCACGCGCACGCGTCCGCGCACCCTTCGCCCTCCCACCCACTTGCTCTCCTAGCAAAACCACCCCGAGGAGAAGCTGCGAACCGAGGAACCGAGAATCCTACCCTTGGAAAAAGATTACAAGACGCCTCTCGTCCCTTTCACCGAACCAACGAATCTTTTCTCTCCCTTTCGGATTCTTTTTTACGCTCAAAGTGCTCGCGCGTTTTACAAACCGCGCGCTCTGAGCATCCCTGAAACCTCGTAGGGGCGAGAGAGTTGACCGCGCGCGCGCACACGCAGCGTTCGTCCGACGAAGACGAAGCGACCACGGAGTTGCGCAAATCGCGAACGCGACTACTGCGTGCTCTGCGAGTAGCTCGCTGCCTCGTCCTTCGTGGCTGTTCCTAGGACCAGCGGGGAAGGGACGAGGCTCCGGGGTGGGGAATCCAGAGGGGAGGAGATCTTGCTACGGGGATCTGTAACGAACTCGATACGCAGGGGTCGCGAGGAGAGGGTCGCGCGGGGCGGAGGAGGCTGCCCGCGCGAAAGGCAACCAGGGGTGGCTCAGGGACCGGTAGTCTGCTCTTAGAACCCCGGTCCAAGGGAAACCGGCTACGAGAACGGGAAATTATGACCCAATACTTTTCAATCGGAAAATTCCGACGACAACTTGTTCTTTTCTTGCGCGTTGCGTCTGCAACCGGTGTCCTGTATCCTACCATCTATACGTTTCTGCGTAATTTTTAACGGAAATCGTTCAAGACCAGAGTGACGTATTTAGAGGACTTGTCTTGAAGCAATTTTTAAATCCTTCATTGCATACGACAAACATGGGCAATACGCTCAATTGCTATGTCTACGGTTACATCTATTAGAAGCATCTCGTATCATCGAATGGCCATTCGTTAGCCTTGAACACTCCATTCTCAGACAAATTATGGAAGCTCGATCTCCTCTATCGAGGGTCGTCGGTGAGGACTTTTCGTAGAACAATATTTGTGGTAATAGAAATTATGATGTACCTGCGTTTTCCGTCGGGCAAGGCGCGTTAAATCGTTTTTATTTCTTTTTAACTGCACGACGAACGTTTACGATCGAGGAATTACTCGGGCCGCAGTTAAACGCGTTATATGTCGATAATGTTAACTCGAGGCTCTCCTACAGACGAGGGTTTGTTTTATTCGGTGGTAAAGTTGCGAATTTCCATAAGATCGAATCGATTGGTCGATGACGAGAAAAACAAAGGGTGAGCGACAAATTACAACTATACGTAATTTTATACATAAAAGTCCTTCGTTTTGGACTGACAGTTCTCAATTCTCCGTAAGAGAATTTTCCTCGAACATTCGCGAATAAACTTCGAATAGAAACACAATATAGATAAAGAAAGTCTTGAAAAAGTTGTTCCAACGACCATAAATTATCTTTTCACGAGAAGAAGAGAATTATCTCAATTATAAAGAAGTTTTACGAGTAAGAAAAATTAACTCGCGATTTGACCAAAGGAAATAATCTATGTGCCAATACTTGATACGCTTTATGCCCCAATGCTTCGCGATTAACGACGTACATTATTTATTTATAAATTTGATCGGAAATATCGCTTAACTTCGGACTCTCTTTCCTCTATAGACGATATAATCGGATAAAATATTTCAGGATCGCGACCAACGCGTTACAATCGAGTCGAATATTTTCACTTGTCCATTTGCAATATTTAAACGCTCCGCCGCTTCGACATTTCAACGGCAATTCATTATTCATTTTCGTTCGCGGGAAAAACAATTACCGATAGACGTTTCCGATTTCTACAGTGGATTAAATTAAAAGACTCGAAAAATAAAAATTTCACGTTTCTCAAATGTCTCGGAAAACGACCCCGACGCGCAATAGTTTTCCCGCGCGAGAAACTCGACGATTCGATCCCTCGACTCGCCTCCGTGGACGAATCGGGACGCGCGTACACCGACGAATCCGTGGATCGCGTCGATTTAAAAAACTTTAGCAACGTCACGGATACCTGAACTAATTTCTAGTTGGAGACGAGTGGAGAGAACGTTCCCTGGACGGAATCCATCGGTACTCGCGAGAAAATAAAATCGATATCGGGTGTATACATCGGCCGACGAAGGCTTGCACGAAGAAATAAAAACGCGTCGCGCCCCGGCGAGCCGACAGAGACGAAACCGGCGCGATTCGCGAATTCCTGCTCGATTTCCCCCCCAAACGGCCGTCCATTTTACCAAAAGAACAAATTCCTTTTTTGTTTTGCAAACGCGATGTTTAATGCATACCCGAGAGAATCGCGCAGTCTCGATTCCAACTTGATCAAAAGCGTTCCCCGTCTAATCTAGATCAAGGATTCGATTCGCGAGGGGAACTCGCATCCGTAGGCTCACCGATTTTATTCAAACCTAGTCACATAATTTTGCTCTAGAATTACTAGAAAATGTTTGAATAAAATCGGATAAAAAAGAGCTCGATGTATTTATCTCTTTTGAAACGAGTAAATTAACACGTTGAGTGCCGAAAGACGTTCCGATCCTCAAGGACCATGAAACTTCCGACGCATCGATTATATCGATGTTATTTGAAAATTCACAAGTATTGGGACCAGTGTACGTCCGACAAAACTTAAACCGACTAATCTGAATCCATGGCTAGATCAAACAGACCTGGTCTATACCTAATCCAAGCATAATTCATACCTGACGCGACTTGAATTATCACCATCGGGACGCGACGTTTTCTGCTAGAAGATCGATCAGTTTCCAGTCTTCGACCGTCCACGTAATTCCGCGATACTTCCAACGACTGTAATCATCGTGAAATCCGTCGGAGCTGCATATCGAGGCAGTATCGATATCGGCTCATAACCGGGGCTCTGACAAATTTCGAGCGCTACGCGGCGATCTAGCGCGCATTTTTTCCTTTTTTTTGGCGTATGGAATTGAAATTTACGAGAAATAAAACATACTGCTTGATTCTAGTATTTTAATCTAGCATTAATAATTTTGTACGAGGAAATAGGAAAAGTGTCTTTGGTCGATACTCGAAAGCCTAAAAGTGTGACTGCGTAACAGAATGACTAATAACTCGGGATAATCTGTATCGCGGTGGTAACGCGTTTACCTTTACGGGGGAAGCAATTAGCATACTCGAGCCAGCGGAATATAAAATTTCTTTTCCGTTGGTAAGGTTTCTCGGCAAGAGGAACGTCGGGGGATCGTCGAAATTAAGGTCAATTCGAAAGTAGGGTTACGTTGGCGCCCAATTCGTACGGGCCTGGGGTTAGTCCGTGGCTGAGGAGAGTGGGGTCGCTACGGAGGGGTGTGCAAGCGATGTAACGTCGATATCGCGCTCTATACCGGGCGTCGCGACGCCGGGTGGGGCGAGCAGGGGATAGGGGAAAGTTCCACATGGGTAAAATAATCGATAGCGCGACCGATATGTATGTACCTTGTCGGTACATAGCGGCGCACGAACACCGGGGGACCGGAGTATGTACGAGGCGTGTGTGGTTACACGCGAGCGGACGAACCGAGAGACCGAGAGGAGGAGCGGTCAGTCCGTGCACATAAACGCGTGCTGCCATAAACACGGAAACGAGGAACACCGAACCACCGGGTACAGGGGGGGGACGGGGGGCAGGACGAAGGACAGAACCAGGTCTTGCAGTTCGCGTACAACTAGGAACAGAGACAGCAGATCGTTTCCGCAGACTTTGCGTAGCAATTGTAGAAACCCAGAAGTGGGCGTAGATTCGACATTGAGACGCTGCCGGAGAAACGACGGAGATACTGTACAGTCAACCCTCGGTACGACACGGTGGTTACGTCTCGAAAACATTACGTATTATACGGGATCAGCCTCCAAATAATAATAAAACTATCGTTTTCTTTTCGGTAATTATAGGGGCGTATATGAAACCGTGTTTCGCGGGGCTTGTAATTCGTTGAGGAAACGAAATGTTTGGACGGAGGTGTAGATGTCGGCCAAATGGAATCGAATTAATTCCTTGATTGCTCGTTTAAAATGTACAGAGTGGTCCGTAACGTGTGCTACCGATATCAATGGCGGACCGGGGACCTAAAAGCGAGGGAAAAAGTTCGTGTAAACTGATATACGCTAGTTATGTATGTTTAAATGTATAATAATATGGTCACACGATATACATTACCGAATAATGAAAATGGTTAAGTATAACTTGGAAGCAGAGTAGAACGGGGCATGTGTTTATGTAAGCTTCTTCGGTAGTAGGTACCATATGTTATGACGCAGCCTGTATAATCCTAGGTGAAGGTTGGTATTCTTTTCTTGTTGGTATCGTCGGTGTAGATTTGAAATTCATTCGATGCCTGCAAGAAGAGGAACGGAGCTTAACAACGGGGCAAACGAGGGAAGAGATTGTGTCTGTACGTTGCAGAAAGGGAGAAGCCATTGTAGAATTGAAATTCATGTGTCGTTGTATTCGTTTAGTTAGGTAGATATAGTAGAAAGACTAGGAAGAAAAGGAGCTCGAATGTTTTCCGTTTTTAGCAGGTTAGACAGAAAACATGTGAACGTTGAGGAGTTAAATAAGAAGAAATTACTGTAAACTTTCGGAGCGTTCTACAAAATCTACGTAGAAAGGGTGGAAAGTAAAGGGAGAAGCCTGGATAGAGATAAAGGGTGAGCGTGCACGTACGATTTGCATACGGTTCCAAAGAGGACGGATAAAAACGTTAATATACTGTGCGAGTAACAATAGATTGGACTATTCGTGTATCTAAAACAGAACTATACCAGAAGGGACAAAGGGCAGCGTGGGTGGAGGTTCGTATATTCCACCGAACTGGGGGCGACTAATAATAACCAGCTTGCTCGAATTTTCCGCGCAAATGCGAAAGAAAAACTTGGAGGGCGGGAAAGGAATGAGACCAGTTGAAATTACAATCTAAATATCGAGAAGGTATTTATGAAAGGAGAAAAAAATAAACGACGGTCTAGTTCCGCGAATGCGTCGAGCGCACAAAACTAATACGGACACGCGCGAACAGGAGGAAAAAACGCGAGTCAGGGGGGGTGAGAAGAGAATGACGAAACGCATGAAAATAACATTCGTACATGTTCGGGAGGCACATCGGAGAATGTCGTACACCCACGCGATTTTAACGCGCTAAGACTAAGGGAGGAATAAAAATAGCGGGTGAAAGGGTGGATGAAATATGTTTTTACGCAATCTCGAGTCACAGAATGTTTGAAATAGTTATAAAACAGGGTGGTGGTTAAAACGTGTAAAGTTGGAGTATTCGTTTACCCATTGTAATGAACCTAATATTATAACCCGTGGCTTATTATCCGAAGCTATTCGTTCTTTACATATCATCCAATATTACGTACAACTGTAGCTCGAAACTATGGAAATTTCACCGAGTGTATAAAAGAGACATCAAGATTCGGTTTAGGGGCTGAAAGGAAAGACAAAAATTTATATGGAGTTGCAAAGACGATGAAGCAACTTTGACGCGCTTGCGTGAAACCCTGCATATGTATCTCTTGAAAGTGAAACAGAGAGGGGTACACATACTGACGAAGCATGTGTAACCGCAAGTATACGGAACGTTGGGGTGGGACGAGGGGGTTGGAGAGAGACGGTAGTGCGAAGAACGCGCGCGTAGGTGTTGCTCGATGGGAGAGAGCGAGACGCCGACAGGGAAACCATATGCACCTACGTGAAATTTGTAAATGGCCGCAAACAGGGTAAGACAGAGACAGAGAGAGAGACATGGCCAGAGGGTGGGAAGGGTGTGGAGACGCGTGTACGTTTAGACACACGTACGTCAGCCATTACAGGCATCGGTCGACGGTCATCGCGCGCGCCGTATCGAATCGACCGCCATTGAAAATGTTCCTCGAAACTGTGTCGCGAGCACCGAGGAATCGCAAACGCGTGAAAACCGATCCTAGGATCGACCTCGAATCCTCGAGCGATCGCACGCTAAGCCAGATTCGAAATTTCGCGTTTCGAACGAGTCTTTTTAAAAGATGAATCGAATACGTATGGAATGGTTCTACGTTTCCATTCGATAATTTCTTGAACCCGCTTCCGTCTCGCGAAAAGAGAGAATTAAGGGACGATCGACGGAATCCCCGTCGCAATACCTCTGCCATCGATCGTGTTTCCCTGCGCGGGGATTTTAATTTCGCGCGGGCAAAAAGACCGTCGCGAAACGGACGGAGAATTTTTATGAATTAACGAGATTTTGTTGCGTCCATCCAACCCTTCCCCCTCCGGCGTGCGTCGCCTGGAATGTAATTAGGTTGAAACAGGAAGCCCTCGGGCCTCCTTCGATGCATCCTCCCCCCGGGGAAAAATGATCTCCTGGCATTTTCGAGTGTCCATCGAGACTTACACAGAGTCGCCATCTGCGTCGAGCGTTTCCACTCCCCGTGGCTCGGTGCACTAATTCGATAATTAATGCGATCGCTCGGAATCGTGCTTTCGACAACTTGGATATTGACGCGGAGCTCGATCGAAGCCGAACCGTAGTATCGCGCATTTTTTACCGTCGATGCGAGGAGGTATTGTAATATTTAAATTCGTTCGACGCAGGGGCAATAAACGTAATCGTATTTTCGGTTCTAGCAATTTTCTTTGGGGTAATGGGCAGGGCCAGTCTCGGACAGACACCGAACATTCTCGCAGCACACAGGGGTTGGGAGGAGGTTAATCGCGGGAATTGAGGCGGATAGTGAAAAGGAAACGGAACGGCACGGGCCCCTCGGTGCAGATGTCTAGTGGAGTCGCACCTGGCGGCAGGTGGTCCCTACCGCGGGGGTTCCCCTCCACGGGCTGGTGATCCACGCGTGTGCCCGCGATCATATGTTACCTGGCGCGTGCACTACCGAGGAACCAGCAACGAACCGTTCGACGTCCTCGTCGTTCGAGATCGCGTGGTAGATCGTTTCGGTACTAACTGGGACAAAGTCGAGTTAAATATCGTGATTTCTTGTGACGTTAACACAGTTCGAAGCATTCGAAAATATGGTTGGTGATCGTGGGTCGGTGTGTCGGGTCGGTAAAACGCGCGGAAAATGTTAACTATCCAGGCTCCCCTCCCTCCATCTCCGCCGAAGATTAATAGAAGCGAAGAGAAAATAAGTTTATCGATTCTTAATTTCTCATAGACAGTATATTAACTATAACGTTCATAATATCTCACGGACAACGCGCAACACAGGCGAAATATATTAATTAGAATTTATAGAACGTTACGAATACAATCACGAAACGTAAACACGATCGACTAACTTATGCAACGCATGGGGGATACTCGGACCCGTGAAACACAATTTTCTAACAACACGTAGGTAAGGTTAAATTTTAGCTTTATTTTTCTTCTTTCAATCGTATTCCGCGCCGATGGTGATGCTCATCTCGTCCGAAACGATCCTTGTTTGGTGGTACCAGCGATTGGTGTCCAGAACGACTGTTTTGACAGAAAAACTCGACATTATGTGTGAAGCATATAGTTCAGGTTGCAAGATGCACTTACTTATTTCGCCAGAATGCACCACAACTTCCAGCCTGTTGCAGTTGTAATGACATTCCCTCGGCGGTTCCAAGATCCACAGTTTCTCACCCTTTATTTGCGCCTGCCACGACGGATGGTCCACGTCGTCCACCTGGAAACATCGATTCTTCTCTACGATGCAGTACCAGGACTACGAATTAATTTACGTTTCGTTCGTCGATTCGTTTGCAAACTATAATCCATCAATGGCTATTTCAAACCGACAATCCGGTATTTATTTCTTCCGTTTGGATTTCTTTGACTCGCGAATGAAATCGATACGACGGGAATAGATTAAGATCGTTGATCGAAGATTAATTAGAAAAAAAACGGACTCACGTGCATGGGAGCCCCGTAGCCATGGCTTCCCATGAAAATCCAATCGGTCTTCTCGCTCTCAGCGGTCGGGGGAAGGAAATAGGGTCTTTGGTAATGTTGCCTAAGCACGTTGCCGACTTTTTCGTCGCAGTTGCTCCTTTTACCAGAAGTACGACAGCGTAAAATAGTATATAATTGTAAAATCGAAGAAAAAGCAATGGTTAGCCATCTTCTCTATTTCAATTTCGGTGTTAGTGATTTGTTTTTTATGGGTCGAAGATCCCTGATCCTTCAAATTATTTCGTTTATGACAAACGTTTGGAATAAATCAGAGATCTGGTACCGAAGGCAATGTACGCTGGTTGACATGGATGCGGGTTTCTGGGTAATTGTCTCGTGCGATGAATATAGACTGATACAGAGTACGCGTTTAAGCTCGTTAGCCGGATTGTGCGCATACGTGCGAGCTTTAGTACGCTAATCGAAGCCCCGAAACTGTTCAGTTCACGGGCACCGTTCAACTTCCGCTATTTTCAGATACGCGCGGTTTCCAAAAATCTTGGATCTCGAGCAAGCGTTAACTCGTAATAAATAAATAAAAACGCTTCGTGCGGTATCAAGGATCGTGTGGATCAGTGATTTATATCGAAGAATGACTTACCAGCCCACGTACCACGGCTTCGTTCCCTCCTCGAGCAAAGACCGACTGGCGTCCATTTCGAAAACGTCTTGAAGGCTCTTGAACTCGGTTTTGTATGGAAAGAACTGGCAATTTGCGTCCTCGCCGTCGTACAATGACTTGAGAAACATAAAGGAGAACACCCTCGGAGCGGTCCAGTTTGTCATGGCGTCTGTGATCACCACAGGCCTTCCAGAGTACGCATAACTGGCTCACAAAAGAAATAAAGAAAATTTAAACAACTGGCAATATGAAATATTTTCGAACGATTCGAAATAAAACAATAAAAACAATCACTTTGATTCTTACGTCGCTAGAGTCGAGTAAAAGATCAAAGGATCGGAAAGCAAGAAAACATAAACATGTAGTTTTTATTTAAAAACTAGAACACAGTTAGATGCTGTTATTAATGTACCCTAGATAGATACATCTAAACTACTAATGAATCTCTTAACCGTTCCATTTCCGTAATAGCTAAATGGATGCATATTTAAGATTACCTAATAAAATATTACTGACGCCCACATTTTCACAGCCGCGAATATATATCCTTCTATTTAACTTGACAGAACGAAATATTAAAAAACAAATCGTTACTCTTGAAGTGTACAGCTAAGCTAAGGGTATATATTCAAATTAAATGAAAAAAATAATGTGTAGAAAACGATTTAAAAATTGAAAATCTGGACGGGTATATTAAGAATGAATTTTTCGTGATGAATAATACCACTCCATTGGCGAAATAAAAACTGTACGAGTATGGGGGACAATTCTAGACAATTTCTGAAAATGGCGTGGTTTGTAAGGTACGTATTTAGAATGGAACTGTTGAATTCAAAACGAAATTGAGCGAGAACGACGCGCGAAATTGCTAGTACAGATCTGGGAATGGAAGAGTCGAGCGATTGGACTAAATTGGACGAGCGGTACCGTTCCTCGAAAGTCCCAGGAACCACGTTCGATATCCTGTCAACCTGTTGAACGTCCCGACAGATCGAGCAATCCTCGGCAGGTCGGAAAATTTTCTGCGTGAACGAGGGCAGCTCCGCCAGACACTTAAAAGACGTTTCTCTGTTAATTAGATCGATTCAGAGGCTCGAAAGCAAACAGAAATTTGTTAGTTGAATCGTAAAAAGGAATTTAAAATTATAAAGTTACGCGATTCCCCTATTACGTCGTTTATAAATTTTAAAATGTAATTTGAAACGTTAATAAATTCGTTGGAATCTTTAAAGACTATTTCGCGAGGAATAGGATCTCACCTTGTCGTGACGAGCAGAACGCGCGTAATTCCATAAAAATTGTCCCAGAATCCAGGCGAAGATCAAGAGGATCCACAGGTGTCTCTTACGGAATTTCGATCCACCGGGTTTGAGCAAGGACTGCGCGTGGAACAGCTTCAATGTCCTGTTGGCGAATCCATTCTCTTCGATTTTAGCCACTATAGCGCGTAGCTCCTTCCTCGCGGTTTCGAAGGACTTTTTCGAGGACTCGGCCGACACTTTGTTGCTGTTCACATCCATCATGTCGTGAACGTAACGGTCTCGCGAAATGTTATCCAGCCACCGAGATTCAATTTTCTTTACCGCTGAACCGAACGCCCCGTCGATGGAATTTGTTCAAACAGAGACACGTTTTAATTTTTTGCAATTATTGGCAATATTCTGAATTTGATTGCTTCTAGTATTTCGTTAAAATTTCGGATGCTTTTAACGGTTGGAAAATATTCGATTGAAATTTTTTAATTTTCCAAGATTCGAATGATCGATGGACTTTCGTTTATATATTGTTTAAAAGACGTTGATGTCCTGTAGGACTACCAGAGAGTTTGCTGGTCGACGTCAAACTGCGGGAAGATCCTTTCGCGGGGTCCCAGAGAACCAAAGGACTCGGTTGCGCGTGGGGATGGTGTGACCCGTTCATGCAACTGTGAAATGAACAAGAATCTGGGGCCACAGATTCATTCGAACACAATCAGTTCCGATCCCCTGGCGATTGAAACCGTGTCTCTTTTAATGCCAAATAAATTCCACCGAAAGCTTCGATACCGATCGGGGTTCGATCTTAGAACTTGGGTACCCTAAGGTAATTCCTCGTAGAATCATATTTAATATTTCTCTTCCAATGTACGATTTCTAATTTTTATTCCCTGATCTTCTAATCCTAGAAGAAAGATAGATGAGATTCAAAGGCACGTTGACTGAATTTTTAACAGCATTTTCCAGCGAAACATACGATTCGATATTTCGGATCATTGCGTCGTTCGTCATCGTTGAAAAGATTGGTCAGATTTTTGGTTTGGGTTTAATTTCGCGATTCGTTAGTTCGACCGCTTAGCTAATCAACGTTCCTGTTTCTCGCGAGTTTTCATTTCGCGAAATCACCGATTGAAAGAAGCAACGACATTGAACCAGCGCTCGAGTGGATCGTGCTCGGCGACAATGTGTGTCGGTGGTTTCTTATCGCTCGGTGTGCAGGTGCTCGTGCTCGCCGAGCCGTGAGGATTTTCTTGTTAAAATACAATCATCGAACCCCGACCCTTATCGCGCGTTCCCATTTCTTTAACGCATTTGCTTCCCGCGTCGAATAGAATCGATCTCGTATCAATTGTCAGCGAAACTATGTGATTCGTAAAAGGGACGATAAGCGACATTCGTCACATTTTTTACGCACTTACGCACTGTGTTCAACCTCTAATACTAATCCATTCGTTGTACCATTGTACTCGATTGTATTCGAAGGGTAACTTCATTTTTTAAAATGAAGAAAAAAGAAACTTTTGTATGGAACATTTTTTTTATCAGATTTTATCTTTCAAAAATACACGCTTATTTAATAAGTTTCCAGGGCAATGGATCGTTAGAAGGTCGAAAAACTATACTGAGATCTGGTCGACGCTGATACCACGCGAAATAATTGTTAATTAAGGAACAGATTGCCGCGCGAATTGTCAATTTGCAATCGTAAAAGGCGCACTGGGACCCTTCTGGCCAGCGAATTGAACAATCCCTACCCCTCAACAATTGCACGCCAATCGTTTCACGCGTGCGCAGCTAATATTTTTCAACATTGTCTGTTCTGATATTCAAATCGTATAAAATTTCATCCCACATGGTTTATTAGTGATTTATTAGACGCGTAGGATTTTTATCAATAGATTTACTGCCACCCAGCGCCCAGTGAAATAAATTTACCAACTTAGTGTCGATGAAATTATATATTAAACTTGCAATTTCTAAAAATTTAAAATTATTCAATACCTTCAATAGTTGAGTTCCTTCTTGATGTTTTGGGCATAGTTTCCTTTACATTTTCGCATCCTGAAAAAGTAGGCTCGAGCTGCACGTTGAATGTTCTAAAAGATACCATATACAACTAATTTTAAATTATATTTGCAAAGCAAAAGGTATGTTCAAAGTTCCAGAAATTAATATCTTTAACGTTAAATCGATTACGTTTGAACAACGTTACGGAATATGATTATATAATTTATAATTAAATAAACTCGAAGCACCGAGTATGCAACAAAAATTATACTTACAGGTTCTTGAAAAAATTGCCCTTCTTTTGTCCTGAAAAATACGACGATCATAAATACCTTGTTTCGGAAAATGTATTTTCCGTTCTTCCTCTTCTTGCACGGGGCGTCGCCATTTTCGGAAGTAAGGGAAAAAACACGGGTCGCCATGTTCAGCGCAATTAAATTCTTTAATTGTTGTCAGTCGGGTTCGAAATACACTAGTCGATCTTTATCGTTAATAATCATTGTATATACGTGGTACTCCTCCGATATAAATAATACGACGTCAATAAAATAATGACAATATGTTTGCTCTTCGTTCCCTACTTCATTTTAGTAATTGCGTCGCCGATAGATTGCGTAAAACACGGTACGAGTTAAATAAACAAACGACGATGACGATGATAAATGATCGTGACGATGACAATCCCCGCCGCGTTTCTCTCAAGGGAAGGGGTCTCGGGGGAATGCTCCGAAAAACCATAACAAAACTATCAATATTTATAGAGATACTCGTGAAATTACAATCCGGTTCGAACGAATCGTTGCAAGATCGTTCTCGAAATAAATTGCTCGAAAAATGCTTCGAAAAATTGGAAAATCTTTCCCCGTAGGGTTCGTGAGCACCCAGATTCCTCGAACGTCTGAATCGTTGCAAAATTAATCTAGAAAGAGACCGTAGAGCTTCGCACGTGATGCAAAGTCTACTTTTTTGGGGGGAAGAAAAGGACAATGCGTCGAACAGATTCAAGGATTCTCGGGTAAACCTGGTTTCCTCCAGACTCTCCCCCTTGGCCCTCCCTCACGTCGAACTACAACGTTTTACAATTAATACTAAATGTGTGGTGAGACTCCTCTAATACATCTAAAATGCACATCCATGCTTATTTAATGCTCCTTTAATTTAAATACGTATGCAGCACTGTAGCCTATCGTTTCTTTTCTATTCGTTTATGCACGTGTCCTGTCTTGTGGCCATGTGTGTATGTATACGTGTACGTATGTGTGTGAGATACGTGAGACTTTCTCCTGGCTTTGTTCGTTTTCCTCTACCCCGGTTCTCGTTTCCTCGCGTTCGTCTTATTACTTGTTGTCGATTTCTTCTTCCGCGATCGAATCTGGCAAATCTGCCCAGAGTTGAACGTTCGTTATTTGTTTATTTATTTTTTTTTTTTTATTAATGGGTATTACTTTCACGGGTTGCTTGTCCACTCTCGCTATCTTCCTCGATTTTGTGTTTCCTGATCCTCTTCCGCTCGACGATTCCCGTTCGTTTCGCTCTCGGAGTTCGGATGATGGAGTGTTCCGATGGAGTCACTCGGTTTTAACGCTATATCAGTCTTCTCGAGTTTGTCGGTGACGATGATCGATTTGACGGTGATGGGTGAGTCCGGGATATCCGGTCGGAAGGGCGGGAATCAAACTCGGCCTCTGCATACTAATTGCTTCGGAATTTTGACCGCTTTTTCGCGAACGAAAATCATCCTAGACCTTTGGGAAGAACTTAAATTCGATGATCGAAGAGTACAAAGTATGGAAATAGAAGCGTTTTGAACTAAGGGCTCGTTGACCGTTGACGTATTAAATTTCTATCGTCCTTCGCATCGCTCCACGATGCTGTCAGAATATTTCACCGAATTATCTGTTGTAAAATAAGGCGGTATCTTCATTGATCCAAGTACAAATTGTCGAAAACATCGAGTTTCATTCTCGCGCCCTTTTCGCGATAAAGCAACGGCGATCGTTGTTCGCCGCTCGTGGCGACAGCTCGTTAGGCCGGCGAGAAACGTGTAAAAAAACAGCGTAAAAATCGTTAGTAAAACACGACACCGTTTTAAAAAACCTGGCTGACGCGACGCGTGGGTTCGTTCGCGAGAATCGTAATTGAACATTCTCGTGTTCAGGATTTTAGATGGATATATTATTGCACATACCACCGAACGAAAAATCGCACGATCTTCCTTTATTCCTTTGATATTTGGTCGATGTTCCGTCAGAAAATTAGGAGGCTTATCGTGTAGGGCTGTCGATCGATACACCAATATTCTCTATACTTACAAACCTAATCCAGACCTAACCCAGTGTATTTATCGAATTTCTTACTCATACGAGGTTGGAAAAGTTTAAAAAATATACGAAAAATTTTGTCGCTTAATCGACCTTGAGTTCCTAAAAAAAGTTCTTTAAAAGAATTTCAGAAACCCGATACGGAGTAAAACTAATCCGCATCGTAAAATATTCAAGTTCAAGGAAAAAGTCCCGTATTAATTAGATATGAATTTCATTCCAGCTGATTAGCCTTCGATCGTCCTACAACCCTTTACTATTAACGCGTTTCTCTCGACAACATGATTTTACAAAATCCTTCGCCGCGTCCTCCTCGCTGCACCTCTCGTTTCTCGTTGAAGTTCGTAGAAAATTAGAAACGCCGGTACGCACAAACGATAAAAAGCGGATATCAAAATCTCGATTCGTTCGTGTCGATCGTGGCGGCTCCAACGATCTTTCAACGATCCAGAAATAGATTCAAACGCTCCTGCTGATCCCACGATAAAACGCAGTCGATCGATACGCTAGCGTTGTCCCTCTTTCTATCAAGAAACATCTCGATCGTCGAAATATAATCGTGATCGCGATATGTTCTTCGTCATTCTCGCAACTCGTGTTTCAGGCTCGATGAACGTCAGAACCAGGCGTGTATTTTTCCTGTTCGACGATTTCGAATTAAACGATATTACTTAAAAACTATGAAAAAGATTCGACGTTTAACCCTTTGAGAAAGGCATCGTTTTTATACACCAAATTGAGAGTGAATTAGATTCTAAAGACGAGTTTGAAGTACGAGTTGAGAGGAACACGGAGATCGCGGAGCCGTGCGTGTCACTGTGAGCGGAATGGTCCAAGGTCCTCTAGGAGGTTCGTGCCACTATCGCGTCGCACATGGCACTCTATTATCACGCTATATCACGAGCGCAAGAGATCTGCTAACAGTCCGAACGGTAAGCTCGTAGAGTGCCTCTCGATTCGCGGAGAGGCGTAAAATGGTGGCCCGTTATCGGTTCTGCAATCCTCATAACGCACGGTCGCTTCTGCTGGAAGTCTTGCAACAGAGTTGCAGCAGGTATTGCCACGACAGTACCGTAATAGCAATCTACAGGGCCGCGATATCGATCGTAATTGATTATTAATTTTCTCAGTAGAGTGTACAGACGCTTGACGAACGCTATTTCTCATTGATCGATATTGTGACCTGTATTTATACTATTGCAGCATCCTTTTTCGTCGGTCGTTTGTTGCAACAGAAACAATCGTGCGAAGTCTTGCGCTCGACTCCTTTCGGTAAGGTTCGATCTGCGATCGATACCTGGTAAAGTAACAACGACTTCCATTTTCTTTGTCACAACATTGGCGAGCCTGCGTCGATCTCGTCGCTCGTACGACAAATGAAAGGGTGGATTCGATCGTCTCGAGGATGAATATATACAGAATGCTGGTGCGGACAGCTACGCGAATGAACAGATCATTGGACCGGGTCGCGTGAAACGATCGACGAGATCGATTGCGTCGCCGATCGCAACCGTGCGGCGTATTCGTTAATATATATATATATATAATATGTATATAATTCTGAATTTTACAAGTAGAAACGCACGTGTGGTATCTCTGAGCGCGTTTCGATCCACAATTGGTGTTTATACTTTCTCCCGGTTAAATCATTCGCGAACACACTCGATTCAACTGTCGTAATAATATTATTTAAGAAATAGAACAAGGATATATTCATTTGTATATATATAATATATATGTATATATATATATATATATAATATGTATATCGACTATCAATAATGTCATCTCTGTCAAACATTCGATAACATTGAAAACATCACATACTTCGTCATTCTCTCTCTATATCGATTTCGTCTCGTGATAATACTCTAGAACGCGAAGAGAAACACAACAGTGAGAATCTCGGGGAACCTTCGATTTCTCTCTTCTGTATTCGATCGCGTTCGCTGGAGAACACGCGTGGCTCTCGACAATGGGTATTCTCGTGTCCGCCACTGTCGCGAATGGACAGTATTGTTTGTTTGTTTTTACGTAGGCAGACGAAAAAAATCACACTCGCGCGGATCGGATGCATACACAGTATATATATATATATATATATATATATATATGTATATATATATCTTTCTTGCACTGTCCTCGACCGGCCCGGAGACCGGAAAAGAAAAGTAAAACAAAGTGTAGCTTGGAAATATTTCAGCATCCTCGTGTATGCCACACCCACAGCCTCGGAAGTTTTACGTAATACGATAAACGCAGCAATCGGTAAGCCTAACGCGTGCGTTTTGCGGTGTGTAACATATCTATATAATATACATATATATTTACGCATTTATACCCTTCCGTATTTATAATGGCAACGGGTGCCATTTTCTGTGTATTGTAATAATAATAATAATAATAATACCGTCTACTTATCCTTAATAGTACTTTTTTACGGTCGTCGATACTCGCGTCTCATCGCGCGTACCGTCTTAAAATATACACTCAGACGTATATATAATTTAGAATTGTGCAACGAAGGTTTAGAGCCATTAGTGCGACTACTGCTGCGGATGTGGTCGGACAATTTCCCTACCGCCTGCTTTACGCGAAGAGAATGGTGGCCGGGGTGTGCGGGGTGCAACTTGTATTCGAAAATCACCGTCCTTGGGAATCAAACCATAATTCCGTAAAGACGACGAGCGCGCGCGTTTTCAGAAGCTTCGAGTCTCATCTAACATCTCTATACCCTTCAGTTCTCAGTCTTCCTTTTCCCTCTGTTCAGCGGCTCTGTACATCCGTACGCGTAGCTCGACTCCAGGCGAGCAGCATTCGATCCTAACTTATACATATATACTCTTCTAACAACGTGGACCGTTCGCCCGCAGCGTACAGAAATGAAACAAAAAAAAAAAAACAAACCGAAGAGAAAGAATTCCGGTCCGTCTCGCTTGTCGAATCGATGATGCCCCGTCTAGCGTGTCGGAGAGGGTGTCACCGTCCGCGAAGTCGGCAAGAAAGAACCGTCGGTCAGCTCCTCGTTCTGCTCCACCTATAAATCCTCTCGTCAACGCGACACCCAGCAATCGTTGGGTGGACGGCGGACCTTGGTTGGTAGCGATTTCTAGGTGTAGAGGCTCGGGGGAAGGCTAACTCCAGTTCCCTGGGCTCCAGGCAATAGCGCCAGACCCTGTTATACCCAGGAGTCCCCGGCGGAGGCCGCGGTCGAATTCGGTGGCACGTTCACCGTCGCCGTCGACGCGGTACCATCCGGGACGCCGACACCGACGCCGACGCCGACGCCGACGCCATCGGCCGCCCATTGGCCACCAGTCGGCGCGACGCCGACTCCTGGGCCGACCGGGCCCTGACCCTGACCCTGGCCCACCCCCAGCTCATACTGCCGCTTCTTTTTCTTCTCCAAGTTAACTTGCGCGTAGAGCGGCTCACCGGGTTTCGGTTGCTGCAACACACACAAGCCAACGGTTAGTTAGAGCCCTGAACACGCCGGGGGGTGGGCTGTAGACCGTAGGGTGCAGGGGATAGGGCCCGGGTGTTTTCACATTCCCAGGCATTTCCCAATCTTCCCTCGAGTTTATCGATATAACGGTGCTTGACTTGACCCGAATCTGGATGATCGTGTCTGTCACTGCATCACTCAAAACCATAAAGTTCCATTTTAAAAAAGGATGCACTTGCATTTTTCCTGTTCAACTTTGCCTTGCGACACTTTTCGCGCTTTTTCCCAATTGCACGAGACACTGTGTATGGTCCGGAATTCGCAACAGTGTCCAACACATATGATCAGATTCCAGTTTTTTTGTTCAGATTGGGAAACGCCTAGTCCGAACTCTACCCGTTCGAGGAAATTATTTCGCATAGAATCTAAGGGGACAGGCCAAAATCTTGCGACAGTTTCTTTTTCTCTAATTCCAAAGAACACGTAAATAATTGACGTCCAGGCTAGAATGGCCCCATGAGACTTTTATCGGTGGTAAAACGCGAAGCGAATGACCGAAATGTGGAGATCTATCTGAAAACGAAGACCAGTTAGAAAATACTGGAACAGACACATACGAGATTCATTGAACCGCACTCGTCGCGATAAGAACGAACAATCGTGTAATAGGTACTGTCAGATACTCTTTTATTATGCTCGATTAATTTGGATATAAATAGATTATAAATAAGTTCGTGCAATAGTCAACGTGTCATTATAAACCATGCTTCGTGGTGCGTCTAGGTTTTCTCTCGTACAATGAAGGTCGCTTACTGAGAATGTATAAAAAAAACTTATATCGTAAACAACTGTTGTTGACGTCAGCAGTTCATCTTAGAGTATTATTCTTGTTGATTCGCTTTGTGATTTCTACAAACGTGCACCAGACGCAATGTAAACGACTTCGAAATCACTTATCCCGGTAAAACCTGCTACGTAATGTCGATGCAATGACTTTTTGTGCTTGTAGATTACCCTGCTTGTGTAAACTCAATATAATTATATATTAATCGGATTCGAATGCGCTATACATTACGCTTCGTTCTTTACGTTAATGTTATCCTTACTGTATTCTCGTAGACTATGATCACTTAGGTAACGAGTCGAAATTAACGTCTCTAACTCTATATTCTTCAAGAAATACCCTTACGATGGAATTTTGTCAAACAAGTGAATACACTGCTGTTGCTACTTCTACGTTAATTGTATTAATTACTGTCAATTAGGCAGCAAACATCAGCCTTTCCACGGAAAGTTTGTGCGCTTCTTTCAACTAAAGATCTATTACCGTGTGACGTATGAAATTTTTTCTGACTGAATTGAAGAAATAATAATAATAATAACCAGAATGTGCCGGATATGCATTGTAACTTTGCATCGTTAACTTCTAACCGAAAGACCTAGTGCACCAAGGACATAACTCTGAAATTACAACAATTTTCGTAGTAATCGTTCGGCCAGATGTGCTCCCTAATCATAAAAAATGTCAAGTATTTGGTCCTGTAATACCTAGTTCCTTATACAATCATAGAATTATGCGAGACACACTTTAACACTAAGTTAACAATCCGACGCTTCAACCTTTGTATATGTAATTCATATATAGACTCATACTCCTTATTAATAGATGGCGTATTCAATAAAGTGAATTAATGAGAAAAATCATTTGAAACGTTAGAAGAAATTCAACGCTGTAGTTATTCGTTACGAGTGTCGTACGTAACTGGACTTTCGCGGATAAATTTCTCTCGTCTTATCGTAAGTACAGTAATTTCGTTCAACCAAACAAAATTTTAACTGTCGCTCCGTTCTGTAAACTTGAGAGAATCGAAAATCTTTGTTCGTTACGGCATAATTTGTTTATCGTGCCTCGTTTGTATAAAAGTCTGAATGTGTACGAAAAGTTCAACGAAACGAATAATATTTCGGGCGCCGTGATAAACGATCATGTGCATCGGATAATCGAGAAGATTTACATCGTACGTATCGACGAAACTAAATTATACACCTCAACAACGGTATTCGTGGGCAATCTCTATATAAGTCAGTATTTCTACGCGAAATCTGTAATATATTGTTGCATTGTATTGACTCACTGTGTAACGTACTTCTTGTACATAACATAAATTCTCTCCGTTACCCGATAACAACGCGTCTCTACTCCGTTCACGTTATATAAGTGTAGATTATTGTGTAAAAATTTGTTAAACATTTGATAATTCCATGGACTGTTTTATGCGTATCGCATACGATCTACAGTAATACTGTACTAGCAAATATTGTTCCATAGCATAAAACACGGTGATAATTGGTACTTGTTAATTGACTTAGTTTATACACTTATAATGTTCGTTTAAGTAACTGTCTTCTCTGTATCACAACTATGCTCTTACAACGTTCATTAATTTTTTTTTCACTTGTTACATGCTCGTATAATGGTGTTCCGGTTCTGTCTGATTTCGTGCAAGCGGATAAATATTATAAATAAAGTGTCGTGATTATTATAGCGCCATAATGATTATTACGGCCTTACATATTCTTCCATACATACATATATACGATATATCTTTCCTAATAATTCTCAAACGCATTTCGATTACGGAAATGCCAATATCTCTGTCGCGGATATATATAATATAAAAATTAACAAAAAAGAGAAAACAACAAAATCCGATCTGTGTACAAGTTAGATCTAGAGAAACGTCCCCTTACGTAACCCGTTCGACTTTTGGAACGAACAAGAAGTAAATAAAAATCTTATCTATCGTGTAAACTGCGCGTATATTAAATCTATTGCAATCGACAATGTACCTGCACGCGTACTAGAGGAAGACTTAATTTGAAAATAAAATCTCGTTCTACAACATAATCGCTGTACGTTACTTTCGTCAATCTTTAAAACTCTTCTGGACATTTGATCTTTTCTTAGACACTTGTAAATAAAATCGTGGTAACTGCGAACTAAACGAACATAATAATCGGGCAAAGTGTCGTTGAAAGATTATACGGAACAGGACCCGTGTTCTATTACTTTATTCTCTCCGGAGCTTTCGAAAACTACTTTTTATACTTTCGCTTCGTCGTTAGAGACACGGTACCCGACTCTACTAGTAGAAACTACGCAAATACGTATTCACCGACAGTACTATTAATTATTGTTACTTACAGACTGATATATAGTGGGTCGACCAACGTTATTAGAATTCATATTCGCTCTCTGAATCGTTCGGTCCTCGTATCTGGTGCTTCCTTGACTCGCCATCGGCCGGTTCAAAGTGCTACAATCGTAACTACAATCAACGTAGAATCGAAACGTTCGAAACCAGACTTGGACTCTGCTCAACTTAAACTACCAAATCAAGTATAAACGAACATGTAAAGCATATACGCAAGAGATAATTGCAGAGTCCCCAACATAAACAACGAAAATGAAACTTTATCTACTTTTAAGAAAAAAGAAAGGACTGAATCGAAAAATATAAAGGAAATTGAAATTAATCGATCGGTTGATCGACGAATCTTTACCTATTTGCATTATTGGGTGAATTAGGCCCTGAGTTTCGTGCTGCCACCGTTTTCGTGACGAAATCTTGCTCCTTCCATCCATGTTTCTTGTAAACGTCTCTCAATTCTTGATGCTGCCACATTGTGAATAAAACTTGTCCTAAAAAAATACCGGATTTGAGTTCGATCCCTCGACTAATCACGGCAAAAAGTTAGGTTATGTTCATTATCCTTTCATTAAACTTAAATTTATGTTTATTAAACCTTTTCCAAATCTTCGATCAAATCGATTAATCGGTCGTTGTCTTCTAAAGCGATAGCAGTTATATAAATAAAATTCTTACCTGCGAATTTAAGAACACGAGGCGTGTACTTCTGGCGTTGCCTGGTTATGTTCATTAGTCTGTCGACGCCGCCTGCGTCCAGCAACGATCGTGAGAACTCGGCGTTCTTTTTGATAACCTCGTTCAAAGTGGCCAGAACCGCAGCAATCGTGTCGTCGCTGGTCCCCTGGTCGTGTTGGTTATTGCCTGAAGGTAACTTTTGAATGAGATCGCGCATCGCATACTTCCCTATCAGCTCCTTATTGCGTTGGTCTATTGCGAGGTTTCTGAGCGCTGTTGCCACAGCGCAAACCACACGATCCACCTGAGTAAAAGAAAAAGAAGCACGAACGAATTAAATCAAACTATACGTTCCCGAAAGTGCAAATGACATTGAATTTTCACCGATTTCGCACCTCCATTCGCAGCAACTCCACCAAAATTGGAAGTCCCTTCTCCTTTCTCACAGCTGCACGAATTTCAATGCTAGGTTGCCAGTAGCAGGCTGCTAGATTCTGGAGAGCTCCAGCAGCCGCCTCTAACGTTTCCGGGTTTGAGCAAGTCTGCAAAAGTTTCAGATATGATTGGACCACCTCCGGTTGCCAGAGCAGCTCCATGCCTCTGACTGGTTCCGTTCTGGGACTGGTTGTACGAGACGCTGTTGTTTCCTTCTGCACCGGTTGACCGTCCTTTTTCTTCTTACTGCCGCCAAAGCAACCCAAATTCTCACCTGAGGCACAATCATTCGAGACTAACATTAATTTGGAAGGAAATTGCGTCTGATTAGTCTAATAACAGTTGCATGAATCGTGTTGCGTCGATCGACGGTTGCGTATTCCTTAATACGTGGTGCATGGAACGAGTTTGACTTGAAATTTTAAGGTTATGATAACTTGTAACATGCACCCGAAGGAAAACTAAAGCTACAAACTGACGTTGAACAGTAATGTTCGTCGTAGTATCGAATATCTAACGTGGCTACCGGTTGAAACGTTAGTTTTCAATCAAGTTTATGAGATATCTTGGTTTCAATAACTCATTTGCATCATATTTTCATCAAAATTGTATTCAATACATGTTTCAAAAAGTATTGCAAACTTCATATCTCTGTGATTTGTTCTTGGCCACCACTATTCATTCACAATACGAATAAGACGAAAATCAAGAATATAAATTGCTTGACTGAGGCTTCATTAAAAAGTTATTAAAAAATTAAATTAAAAAATTTCAAATCATTCTGAAAAAGTTATTTTTGGTTGTAGGGGACAATTACAATCATTTTTGGCGAATAGACACACCCCCGAAATCCTACGCACTTTCGAGAAAAAAATTCGAGAATGTGAGAAATTTTTCGACAAAATTAAAAAGTTTCAAATTATTCTGGAATAATTATATTCGGTTGCGGGGATCAATTACAATCATTTTTGGTGAATAGACATACCCCCGAAATCCTACGCACTTTCGAGAAAAAAATTCTTTTCCGAAAATATAATGTGAGGTTAGAAATGTACATATGTATCTAAAATGTCATAAATTCTGAACAGATTGGGGGATTTTAATGATACAAAATTCAAACAATGAAAAAATACATTGGATGTAAGGTCCAATCAACAAACTGGTATTCTTGATTTTCATCTTATTTTGTTCACATTATTTTACATACACCCTGTATACGCCAATGATGCAAATGTGTTAAGGAGCCATTGTTCTTTGTACAGGGTATTTAATAAAAGGAATATAAGACTTTAGGGGTTTATAGTACTTGCCCAAAGTGTTAAACCTTTTTTTTAAAAACCTCGTAATAACGTTTGAAATGCAATGAACGACACATTATACTAGCAGAAGCCACTGCAGCAGACATATACAAAATGAACTAAAAGAGAGATGCACTATTTGAGCAGAATAATAGTTCAAATTGGACCAACGAAATTAATAGTAACACCTTGCAAAAGCAAAAGCATATTCTTGATCAGATTGTATATCTCTGAACTCTATACATATAACTGAACTATTCAGAGCCACTAATATTTGTTATTTAGTTAAAGATGCAATTGTTTAGTGTTTTATGGAATTTGTTTGAACGAATACACGTGTAATGTAATAAGTCTATTTCCTGTGTGATTCGGATAAAAATTGAAGCGTGACAAAGTAACCAATATTGGAACCATGATCATGACCACGATTTGTACGTGTCTTTAAATTCGAATCGATTTTAATGAGAGTAATCGTCAAAAAGCAAACCATGCACTGACTAATCAGACTTCCAAAACAAAAGAGAAACTAAATTAGCGATGGAATTACAAGAATCTCTTACCTTGGCATAAACTGTATGCTAAAAAGATTGAAACACATTTTAATCCATGCTAAACTAGGAAGGGTATAACTTCTTTACATGTTATTTGTCTGTTTCCAAATTTTATACATTCGTTTTTTTCTTTAAAAAATAAGGAATAAATATGTTAGGTAGAATCATCAAGTTAAACAAGTTTAAAATCATAATGGAGACACTCAAGCCGAATTAAGATACATCGGAAAGAAACAGAAAGATCAGTGTAGTGGGTCTTTGCTAATCATCCTGTGCTAAAAGAGATTTTGCAAAAACATTTTTTCCATCAAATATTGAAGCGGTATGAACAACTTCAAACAGACATAAGCATCACAATGAACGGTTAAGTGTACGTAAGTGTGTATAATTTTAATAGACTCTGTGGGTGTTCGGGGCTATCTACTAGTTCTAACTACTATTTTGCACATTTCATACTCAAGAAAGTATTAATACACATCGTCTATATGCGACTGATTACTGTACAGTACTGTTGGCTGCCAAGCGGGCGTAAATTACACTTTAAAGTGGTTCATCCTTCTCGTTTCAATTCACTCTATCCCCTGAACTGTAAAATTATCTCTAGAACTAAACGTTGAGCCTACTTTCAGCAAAGCTAATTTCCATCGATCAACGACTCGACTTGTTCCGAGACATAGAGTCTACGATCACAATAACTTAGCAGTTACCATATTTTTCTAACACCAATAATGATTCTAAATTACACCCGTTCGAGAGTTCCATTAAAAACTGTTTCCCCCGTTAAAGTTAATGGAAATACGTATTCCTTCTTGTCTTATCTTATCGTCGCTTCGGGGAAAGGTAAACTGCTTATTATCAGCGCGCACACAAGTTGGCTGCATGCGTGTCACCACATGCCCACTGAGGAAACCCGTGTATTCGTCATGGCAAAGGAAGGTACACTTTTCTCATTCTCAGAAATGCAAGAAAAAGTCGGGTCGACTGGTTCTCACCTTTGGCCGGTGCTGCCACCCTGTTCTGTACCGTCGATTGGATAGGATGCTTGTCGTAATTCGGGTCTTCGACCTCTTGACACCGATAGCTCAGATTTCTTAGGATGCAGACGCAATTCTCCACTATTTTATTGCCGATATTTGACTTTTCGATGGCCGACCGTACCACGTACAGTAACGCGTCCACCAGTCCCTCGCACTCGCGTAACTTTTTCCTCGCGTATTCCCCGGCACTGGACACGTTTCTCAGGACACCGGACGCGTTTCTGAAAACGGTCGACCAGCAAGTCTCGCCGCTCGATGAACTCGGATCCCAGCCGCTGTGTGGTATGATTATATTGTTCACCACCATCGTCACGCCGTCGTCGATGATGGACTTCTTCAGATCCTGAAACCGTTCACGATAATGTGTACTAAACGGTAAATATCATGGTATGAAAAAAGTTTGAATTCTATCCCCGGTGTGCTCACCTCGCAGGAAGATAGATTCCATAGCACCCCGGTGACCAATTCCTTGACATCCGCGTCGGACGTCCTGCGCAATAAATTGATCAATGCTGGGACTCCTCCGGCGTTTTTGATGGCCCTCTTGTTCTCGTCGTTCTGTCTGCCGTACGACAAGTTTCTCAACGCCCCGCAGGCGTTTCTGTACACGTCCGGGTTATCGTGATCCAGCAACTGCACCAACGGCGGTATACCGCCCAGGCTTCGCGTTTTCTGCTTGTTGGGGTCGTCCATGTAGCACAGGTGCTGCAGATACGCCGCCGCGTTCGCCTTGATAATGTTGTTCGGATTGCTTAGGAACCCGATCACCTCGGACAGGTTCGGGTCTCGCCATCTCATCGACTTCTGATCGTCGTCCAACGGGCTGGCCATTCCAGGCACGACCGGATGCCGGGACTGCAACCGCTGGAGATGAACCTCGTCCTCGAACATTCCGGGCGGAACTCCCGAGGACAGAGGCACCGGATGGCCTTCGTCGTAGCCAGGTACGTCGCTAGGAACTGCCACTGGACCTACCCCGACGCCAGGGCCGTACCCGACAGGTCCATAGGGGGACGGAGACACGTAACCGTAGGGCACTTTACTCTCATCTGCGGTCACATTCAAAAGGAAATCGATTTAGATCTGACAAATCCAAAGGCTTCGGGTCACCGATTCAGGATCGGTAGATCTACGGGCGTAGAATGTGTTTCATCTAAATCGGTGGCCCAAAGGCCTTGAATTATCGAAGGTCCGCTTGGCGGTTGCAGCATCTAAACGCGCGAAACGCGCATAATTCATTCGCATTATCGGTGGCGTTTAGCGGAATATGGAGTTGCATGAAAGATGATCGTTCGATCGACGCGAGAAGATGAAGCTCAGTGAGAGACAGAGGCGGAAGAAAGAGAGAAACAGCAAGTGTTAAATAAATTATTGATGTGACCCTACCATGAGGATGTTGCGAGGGTTCGCCGGAGTCATCCATATTCCAAGAGTTGCTGATTTGATCTAGAGAGGACACAAAATAACAACGAATGTCAGGCATGGAGATAATTAAAGCGAATTATGCTGTGTCCCGTGCACGACCAGACAAATAGCCGCGACACGCTGCAACGCGATAGCTGAACATCTTATTACGGGACTGTCTGGGTCAAACCTCGATGACCCTGACAAAAATCCTATTCTCGTCCGTAGCTGGAAACTAAGCTATTTCGTGGTTGGGTTTAGAGTATGTTTCTTTCGTTCGAACGTACCATATTGATCTCCGGGACCACCAGGACTAGGAGTAATACGATAATGATCTTGCAAAGCGGGATTCAGACCAGGATCGATGTCGTTGTAACCGCCTTCTACGTACGGCGCCGCTTTACGCATGTATTCTTTGAAAGAAACAGAACAATTTACGTTATACGTATTTGCTATCGAAATTCAAATCGTTGGGGAAATATTGTTGTTCGGTTACCGTGCGAGGGCGAGGCACGACTGTGCTCCGAAGGACTATGAGGACTATGAGGAGAGTGCGAGCGCGGCATGTAGATGCCATGAGATCCTGGATAGCCTGGCTGCGGTGGATAGCCAAGGTACGGCTCGTAATGATCGAAACCAACCATGTACGCGTCCGCCGTGTACCGGGGATCCGCGTGCTGGTAGTCCTGAGACATCAATGGCACTGACATGTAGCTCACTGCACCTGGGTCCGGCTCCATGTGTGTTACCTCGCGCACCACTTTCGACACGCTTGTCACCTGGGTAAACGTCAACGTTGCACAGTTTATTTCAAAAACATTACCAAAAATCTTAAAATACGCGTCTTAGAATAGAAAAGGGGTTCCCATTGGCACCATTCGACTGCCAAAAAAGGCTACTTCTTTTCATTTTTTCCATTATCGTACAGAAGACTTCAGGTAACTCGAGCAACTCGTGAAACAAATACGGAGCTTCCACGAGCATAAAATTCAATTGATCAGGGCTACTTCTCCGAATGCGATTCGCGTCAGATAGGATTGCAACAAGAGTTTGGAAGACAATGAGCACATGGTCGGAGGTTTCCGCGAAAAGGCGAGAAATAGAACGATGGAAGAGCCAATCGATATGGCGGATGGGGCTGCTAAGTGGCTTTGAGCAGTCGTTTGACTTTCGTTCGAATGCAGGTTTTGCTCTCGAAATTAACCCTTTTGCGGATCATATCCGGCCTTTTGCGCTGTAAATTAACTTTTCGCGGATCATACTCGACTTTTAGAAGTCAACTTTTGTCAAACGGTGTTAGATTCGGTGAGAAAAAAATGATCGTAGCTTGGCGCATTGAGCAATTTAGTGCGCGGACGAAATTGAAAACGAATCTTACTTGTTGAGTAGTTTGCTGCTTATGAGACCGGATGAGTAACGGATCCTCTTGGACAGACAAATGAGACGAATGCAACGAGTGGGTGTCCGCCTGACCGTTACTTCCGTGGTAATCTGCATCACTCTGTCCGCTGCAAAACGTCCACAATAATGATCAATTAGAGCTGGGTGGAATCGTGCCGGGTACAATCAGTGATTTATTCAGTGGTTCGATAACTCACGTGTATTGCGGCATGTCGGGACCTTTTTCCTGGAGGACGCGTCTGCAAAAACAAAAAGAAATTACATTCCACGCTCCTGAAATGATCGATTGCGCCACTGAAATTCCACAAAAACAATGTTTAATTATATCAAATCTCTACGACTAGATGCGAGATCTCGGATGCTCGATAAACAAACAATATCTCTAAAAGAATGGCAGGAATGATCGATGAGTCCTAAAAATAAAATAAAAAGAGCAGGTAAGCGAATGATTCGTGCGTCCCGAAGTATCGTCGTGAAAGAAACAACAAAATAAAGCGACACAGAAAAGAACGTTCGATCTGCGAGGAACAAAGCAAAGTATCCAGAAATACTTGTAATTACGCTAAACTACTCTTGTCCTTGTCTCGCACGCGCACACACAATTACTTGCACACCATTCCCAGCATGCTGAACGAACACACACGTTAGTGAGGCTGAAGTTATTCATTCTGATAGTCACGTGTACGTTCTGTCTGTGTTCCGACTAACAAAAACCGCACGATTACGGTCGATGGATGATTTCCTTCGCGAGATGCTGCGAGATCCTCTCTGAGAGCCCAACGCGAACTGATCGAGAACCAGCACGTCTCTGTTTCAGCATCGAACGTTTTGACGTTGGGCCTGATCGCGGATCTCGCGACGACTCACAGCGCGTTCAACGATACACGCTATCGAAAGAAACAAATCCATTATAGAATTGTAATTGGTCGAAGAAACTCGCGTTGTACGCGCTGTGCGACGCCGAAGAAGCTGTTGAATGATGGAACACGAAGAAGGAAAACTGATCGAAGATGGATCGATGAATGACTGTATTTAATTGTACACTCGCAGTCAGAATGACTAACCTCGTGATTAGGTCATGTTAGTCACCTCTGCGTGATCTCGGTGCGCGTAATGCTGTGCTCCTGTCTCCGCTCGAGCCGACGATTCACCAGCCTGACATTAACAATTTCGCTCGGATTATTGGAAGCAGCGATCGGATCGATACCGATTCTAATCGATATGTATCGCGATTTTAACGATGCTTCAAGAATCGATCCTTATTTGGTATTTCCACGAAGGTATCGACACATTTGTACAAGTATCGAAGAGATATCGATATACTTTCGATATTTTACGGGCTGACATCCGTAAGTATCGATTTGGTATCGACTCGATCACTAATTGGTAGTGCCGAGTCCTACCGTGCTCCCGGCGCGAATTCAAGAGAAATGTTGTAACTGTCTTTTTCGTGATAAACGGCCGTCGATCCCGTCCTTGGACCAGTCGCGAGGATCAACGGGCCAAACAAGCGACAGAGAATAGAAGGAAGTTTCTTTCCGGGTTGCCAATCAACAAAATTGAAGAGTTCTGTCGCGCGAGTAGAAGAGAAGCGAGGAATTCGTTCGGTACGACAGTGACGCGTTTCACGGAGGGAAAAGAACGCGAGACTGATCGGTTACGAGTCTCTCGAGAGTTCGTGGAGAGAAAGACACTTACAGACAGGAGTCAACCAGCTGATTATTTGACATACCAGCTGATTTTTCGTCTCTTGCCGCTCAGCAGTCGATGACGTCCCCTGGAAGCACACAAGAGAAAGGAAAGATTAAAACAACGGGCAAAGAGGACAATTAAATGTGTTTTACGAATGTTTTTTATCTCGAAATACTATCAAAGAGACGTGGATTTTACTATCGAGCATTTTTTTTAATCGACCAGACGGGGAAAAAAACAAGCACGCGGTACCTTAAATAACCACCGCGAAACCTCGTTAAACGTTAATTCCATTTCGAGCCGGCACAGAACCGCTCTGCCACGATTAACGTTCATCTTCTCCCCTCCCCGCGGTTCTCTCCAAGGCGTTAATTAATTTTATCAGTTGCGCATAGCTCGCGGATTTAACGCGGGCAGGACGTGTCGCAAGTATCGCGCGTAATCACGGCACTAAAATATAAAACGAGCAGAAGAGTTTAATTAATTTGTCGCACCGGCGCTCTTTCGTCCCGCTTTTCGATTATCCCTGGCGTACCGCCGCACGCACACATCCGCGGGAAAAAGTTCCACGACTAATTTTTCTAACGCGTCTGCCGTCTCAGAATTTTAAAAAGATTCAGCATTCCATCCAACTGGCAGATTTAATTTCCAGTTATCGTACTGTTTTCTTTATCGAAGAAAAATTATTCTTCTATGTAAAATATAGAAAGGTAGGAAAAAGGTCGGGTCGACGTTGACGAGAGCGGGTTGAAATCCAGTATGCTTGATTTCATTTTATTCTCTTTGTTTAAATCTTCTCGACTAACGAACTCTGTAAAAAGTTTGTTTGGTCTTGTACTTTCCCTCGCCAACTATCGGGGCACAAAACAGGAAAGTGAAACCGAGCCCTGAAAGGATTAACCCCGGCCGAGTCGACAGTGCAGTAAACGTTAAATGAGTCATTGAACGCGTGCATAGTTTCGGGTTCTAGCTTTGTACGATACAATGGTAACCAGGATTACATCGAAACGAGTAAAATCGTCCGGTTAATCTAAAGCCTGTAAACAAGTATAAACTTCCGCTGTTAACCGAGGAATCAATAGAAATAGAGTAGAAAATAACTACCGGGTCGGGTCCTCCGGATGAATGCAATTTAAACATTCTACGCGGCGGAATATTAAATGAAAATATTAGCTTTAATATTTCCGATATAGGAACTAAAGTGGAAATTTTGTAATACCCATAGGAGGGCATATTTTCTGAGTCTGATATTTTATATCGACAGGCTGTCACCTGATCTGCAATTTTAAAAGTCTATCGCCTCGCCGTAATCGACAAGCCGAACGTAAATCGTTTCCTCGAGTCTCGCGGTGAACAACTCGTGGGGACGAGCTTCCACGCATGCTTCTTTTTCAAGTAATAATCACGTTATCGTCGATTAGGAACGCCTGTATGCGCTACCAGTAACATCGATCTCTTCTCTCGGGTCGACTGAATCCAGGTCGAAAGCGGAACAAGAGAACCAGGACTTAAACAAATACTTCTCGCTGTTACGTCCCGTTTTTCCATCTTGGCCGTCTCTTCGAGTGGAACTTTGTGCTTCGCCATTGTCGCCATCTTTTTACCAGGCTCGGTAAAGTCAGCTGCGCGACGACCATTACGGTTTCCTTAATAATTCCGACGAAAAGTCGGTGAATGATCGCTCGACACTCATCCTTCCGCGACACTCTGTTAACCACGGAACGAACAAACGATTACGTTCACGGAGTTCCTCCATCACGCATCGTACGACTACCCACATTCTAGTTCTCGTTTCTTTGCCGCGAACCAACAAAGGAATTTAACTACAATAACGTCTCGAATTTCCTTCGAATATTACGGATACGCAATTAGGAATCGTTTTATTTCCCGACGACGAACGAAAATGTTACGTTCGAAAAATTGCGTCGCGTAAAAGCTGCGAGTGCCATCATACATCGTCGTTCCACTTTCGTTCTCGATGCGTTCCGTTGTACGCGAAAGGCTGCCGACATTTTCGAGAGTAATCGGATTTCGAGTTTACCAAAATTCTCGACGCGGGGCCGCGAGCGAATTTCTACGAATTTCTAGGGACAAAGTTGCGAAAGCTTCGAGGGTAAAACGAAAACCGAACCAATTTTCGTAGGGTGGGGGCGAAATTCTCGAGAAGCCACACACAGGGCTGGTTGGAATTCTCGAAACGTTGCGTATGCGGGGAACAGAGCGGCCTGAATTTCCGAAAACGCACAGAGATTGGAAACTAAAGTTCGCGAGCCGCTGGACGGAACTTTGCGAGACCAAGGGAGCAAAAGGGTCTCGAAAATTCCCTGGACGCAAAAAGTTACAAAGCTTCCGAACGAGGAGCAACGACTGCAAAATGTTATACAGGGTGCCTTGCGAGAAACGGATCAATAGTAAGGAAATACTGTTTATCTCCACTTGTCACAACCAAAGCAGAATTTCTGTTTAATATTTTAGTATGTTCGAACACAGTCAGAAGAACACGGCGTTGATAAATCAACGACTGATACAAAAAGCAGCTTATAAAATATAAAAGCTGTTCGCGAAACAATTTTCGTTTGAGATTTGGACGGGTCTGAAAACGTTCGCGGAAGCCTGGAATTATTTTGACTCGTCGCGCTATCGCGGCGGCCGAAAATGTAGGCCAGCGTCGCCCGAAGCTTTGTCACGTAATAATGTCTAGCATATTAAATTTTTTATACGTCAGAACGAATTCGGGAACATCCCTTTTTGAAACGAACCGGGACGAACGTCCCGCTGGCGACGTCTCTCCGCTGCCCTACAATCGCGCGCAATCATTTCTCTCGTCCAAAATTCCGCGTTTTTAATCGTTCTGACTCTCGCCGGAGGTGACGCGACTCGCTGATACATCAAAAAGATGATCGTAGCGATGATTAACCGTTGGGCACGTTCTAAAAGCAATTTTTAATGTTATCGCGTGTAATTATAACGTACCGGGTGATGTGAAAAGAGGTCGCAGATGCGGAGATACCTAGAATGATTCTCGGAACGAGGCAAAATGCTGGCTTCAACGTGAGGCTATATCCTTCTGTTGCATCATTTATTTCTAGTTACTCGTTTATTTTCGTAACCTTGGAATATCTTAATACGATTAAATACTAGAGTTACTGTAGGTTAAAATAATATTTTATAGAATATTTATCGTGAAAACTAACGTATCTGTATCGAAATCGTTCCCCATCTTGTTCAAAGATTTAAGTAAAATGTTTCTCCGTGTCTTTGAAATATAAGCGATCGAGATGGAACGTCGACACCGAAATTCGGCTTTTACTCGGTTCCCGGCGGCGTTATTTCGCAGGAAAGTCGTTTCACCACCCTGTGCGCTCTGAATCGCACGCGTCGCGACGCCAGCGCGTGACCGGATTTGCACAGCCGCCGCAACACTCTCGCACTTAGGCAAAAGTGCATACGATACGCAAACCACGAATACTCGCCGACGAGAACCGCGTGCACCGGCTACGCTTTTGTTTATCTTTCCATCTTCCATCCGCTCTAACGCTACCCAAATCCGCCGACCAACTACGAAACTTGTCAAATTTTTTCTTTAAATAATTAATTAGCCCCCGTTGTTGGTCGATGCAAAATAAACACCGCGGTTTTCGACTGGTTTTATGCCGTTGGAACCGTGAAATTTCTTGCCGCGTGGTTTACAGCGTAAATACTCCAGGGATTATGACGTAGCTCCACACGGGAGTTCACAAAACCAACTCGTACAGCTTTTCACGTGATTCCACGTAAAGAATTAGCAATTCTTTGATACTGTGTTCCCAAAATTATAGCACGACAGAACTTTTCATTTAGAAGCTGTTATTCGTATAAAAAAACGTTAATCGTTCTAAAAAAATTATTCTTAGTTCCGGGGGTCAATTACACACATTTTTGGTGAATAAACATACCCCCGAAATCCTATGCACTTTCGAGAAAAAAAATTAACGAATCCTCGATCAACAAATTGGTATTCTTAATTTTCGTCAAATTTTGGCTTCTAGAATCTCCCATTAAAATTTTCCCCAGATGTGACCGAATACCTTGTATAGCAGTCTCGCGTTCACTATATTGAATATTTTCAAATAATTCAGACAAAATAGGGCTCTATTGTTCAGCAGCAAGGTAGAGATATCATTCATAAATACAGAGAACAATAGTAGACCCAGATGCAAACCCTGAGGCACTGCAGCTATGGCTCGGATTTTACGCGAAAAGTGGTCATTGAACTTTACGATCTTGGATCTTGGATCTTGGATCTTTATTTAAATAGCTATACTAGCGCCGTTAAATAGGCAAACACCTTGCAAATGTCGATAAATAATGCAAACTATCCAGTGGTTGTACCAATAACGATAGTATCAATTACAAAATATTAAAATATATTTAGATTTGTATTTGATAATACATACATCGTTCGAATGCAACCAAATTGAGCCCTGTTCCGAGAGTGGATGAATAAATAAACACGAGTAAGCGTCGACGAAAATATTTCCAGGTCATTTTTATCGAATACTGAGAATCTTAATAAACATTTGAAACATATTAATCGCGTATAAACGCGATCCACGTCGTCGTTGGTAACTTTTATACTCGGGAAAGAGGATTTTAGTCTACGTTATTTAACAGAAACAAGTTTGCTCTAGTATGTCCTTTAGACTAAAGCGGCGGTTGTCTTAATTAGTTTCAAGAGGGTCTGCTCGGCGTTATGGGAACGCGCGCGTGTGAAAATTAATTTAAAATGCAGCGCAGCCTCGGTGTCGGCAACCAACTACGGTAAAGCATCAGCGAAACTGTAACAAGAAGATAATTCTGATAGCAGGCTGGACCGGCGTGTCCGTTCGAAGCTTCGATTCGAAACGATTTCAAATCACGTGGCTTGGCCGCGTTCATCCTTTGTTACGAAACAGAATGCGCGTTTCGGATTGAAAATTTAACAATTAATGTATACCAGTTCGCAGCCGGGAATACCGATAAATCTCTGTCACGTAAGTTACACGTTTAATGCGAATGATCCTCTTTACCGGGATTTCGTTTTAATTGGCTCGCCCCCCTCTTGCC